GTTTGTTTTGTATAATTGTAATATTAGAGTAAAAAATGATCACTGTAGATTTAAAATATGCAAAATTATACAAATTTTTTCTTGTTTTTTTTTGATGATATACGATTTAAAAAGTCCAAACTCTCTTTCTCTTGCTACAACAATCAAAAATTGTGGAGAAAACATTGCTATAATCGCTTGTTCAAGAACTGTTTTATTAAAACATTTTTGGTTTAGGATAGAATTGAACTAGAAACAAAGACATTTACACAAAAAAAAATGAATATGAATAAACAGAACGTGAAAATGTAAACATAAAATTGTTAGTTTTTATTGTTTCGTCGTTTGTTATTCCATTTTTTGAAAGCTCTACAGACTTTTTTCTAAATTTTAATTCGAAAATATTCGGTGACGGTGTTGGTATTTGTTCAATATTTGCAGTAAATAAATGAAATTGTTTTAACTAATAACTCAAAATATATATTAGGTAAATTTGTACTATAAATTTCTTTTTACATTTTTCTGAGGCATTATTAATTTTTTAATTAGAACAAGGTGATGACAAGGAACAATGAAGGGCTACCCTTTGCCACATTCTACGATGCGAAATACAAAAATTTAGTAGTTCGGCGAATTTCAGTTTCAGCTTTCAACGTTTCTGAGTGCTGCTGATACGAAGATTCCCACGACGCCACAACTTCTTTGATTTGCAAGCTTCTATAACAGTGTATTTGCAAAATGCAGTTTTAAGAATCAAACTTCTGTCGAAATGAAATAATATGTTAATTACCAGATTTTTGGTACAAAACGCTGTTGCTTGATCCGCTGTTCGCTGCCATTATAATTTGTATTGTATTATTGTAGGGATAAAAAGTAATTAACGTTAACCATTTAAAAACATCGAAAAAAATATTGGGAATTACAAAAGTTATTTGATTTAAAATTATTTGGAATAAACATTATGATGTGAATTTTAAATCAAGTAATAATTATCGTGTATTTTGTACAGATTAATAATAGCTACGAAGAAATTGAAGCTAAAAAATAAAATCACCAAAAATAAAGTCAATAAATTCTCGCATCTCACAGGCTTGATATTGGTATAAACGTACGCATCAAAAACCCTTTTTTCTGTCTATTATGAATTATTATTACTCGTATTAGGCATTCTAATATTCATTATCTCATTTTACCAATTTTGTTATTTATCTGGAAATCATCTACAAACAGACTATTGTAGTAGTAGGTAGTATAGTATAGACTATTGTATAGTATAGTATGAATTAATTGCATGTTTCATTTATTCTAGTAGAGCTGTGTCATAGGTCAAAATAATTTTTAATTATGTTTTTTCAGTTACTGTAGGTACATTTACATTTTATAAGTGAAGAAAGCCTTTAATTTGGATTTCTTGCCCAGTTTTATAACTTTCAGGATTTTCTACCTAAATTTGAAAACAAATTTGTAAATTGTAAATTTTTTATGTTGTTTTTTTTTTACTTTAAATGATAATCGGAAAATGCAATGAATTGGGGAAGAGGGGTTAAATTATAAGTTAGAACGGCCGGAGTATGTTGTACAAATAATGTGTTATCAGTATGATAATGCTTACAAATGTCACGAGAGTTATATTACAAATTTTAGGTTCTATTCCTTACATTGATATAATATAATATAATAACATAATCTTCTCACTACAATTAACAAAGTAACAACTTTCAACATATATATTTTCTAATTTGTTATTTATTTACTTATGACAAAATTGACAACTTATTAGATTTTACGTCATTTTTAAACATATCCTGCTATCTGTTTTCTAAACAAAAATTGCAAAGACTTTACTTTTGTTATGTCTTAAACAATGCAGTACAGTAATTCATCAAAAACATGTGGACAATGGACTATAAAAACGCAGACAAACTAGTGAAAAAACGTATGTTCTAAGTGTATTTTAACTTGTTTATTCTTAAGTTTTTGGAAAATTCAATAAATTTTTCAATTATCCAATTTGTCAGCTCTATTTTGAGTATGAAAAGTGTATTAGTATCGGAGCCAGTAAATGTATAATTCCGGACAAAAAAAATACTACAGTCATTCTGTTAATATTAAATGTAAAACGGCCCTTGGATAGCAACCTCACTCTCAATTTAATGTCAACGTAATGTTTCTGTCATTTTGACGTTTTGGAGGTTTTGAAATCCAAATTTGACGTTAAAGTTTGCTTTACAGTGAATTTTTAGAAATTGTCAAAAATTTGATGTCCCATTTTTTTGTCCGGCATGGTAACCGGTAACCGGTTTATTATTTTTGACACAATAAATTATCAAATCAAACTTTTTTGCCATGCATTCATACGAAGTGATCCAGAAAGAGTCTGTCTGCTGAAATAGATTATTTGAAAGTATTTTGTTAATAATTTGCAACACTGCAACCGGATACGGTTTTGTTTGACAAATACTTGGCGTACAACGGTACAACCCCTCAAAATTATTCAATTGTTGTTAATCAAAAGCGTAATTTTTAAAAATTGGTGTTAGGACTGTCAACAGATTCATTCATTCTGGATCACTTTATATAAGTATTGTAATAACATGTTACAGCGTGAAATGTTATAGGTAGAGCTTGTTCCAAATCTCGTTCCAAATCTCGTGGCGAACTGACGTTGTCAAAAATGACTGAATTTTGACACTAAACATATGTTTACTATTAAAAAAATATTGTTCATAGACGTCGTATGAAATAATATTTCAAAACCACTGTTATTCTAAAAAAATATAATATGTAGGTAGTCGTACATAAGATGAAGAATGATGAACAAATTATTAAATTGTTAACGCATGAACAGAATTTTCAAAAATGATATTCCTAACAATCCTCGTCTTCAAAATTTTTAGAGAAAAAAAGTACGCCTATGTATTTTTTTATCTTAACCAAGTGGGTGCACTCTAAGTGTCTTTTCTGTAACTGTCAGTTCGCTACCATATATGGAATAAGCTCTAGGTATATTTGTTATAAGTCACTGAACGCTATAATAAGAAGTTACGATAAACAATACAAATGAGGAGCAGCCCTTCAAAAAGCAGTTTGTCCAAATTTGCATTTTTGCAGGAAAGAACAAAAACTGTCCTTTTAAGAAATTTTAATTTTTTATATCAGTGGCAATAAATGTGAAAAAATATGTACAGGGTCCTGCATTTTGGATGTCCGAATAGGGAATCTCCGAAACTAAGAGGTTTAGCCAAAAACGAGTAATACATTCTGGGGCAAATTTTTTTGAGAAAATAATATTGGGTAAAACCGCTATCGACTTATAAACAAAAAATGACATTTTAGTGAAATCTAAAAAAAATCATATTTTCGTTATTATAGAAGACACAGATTTGAAATAAAGACATTTTCCAGGCACTTTTTTACTTAGAATTTAATAATGTAGTTAACAATTTTTTTCAGTTGCTTGTTTGGCCGTAATAAGGTAAATTTGTATTTTTTTAAATGGGAATCATGAATGGCTGTCATTTTTAAAAAGCTTGTTTTTTTCTTATAAACAAAAATATATATTTGTAACAAATTATTATAATACATTTTTAGCAAAAATTTATCTTTGATTTTTGTTCCCAATTAGCCATGAAAAAATGTTGCATCTTCAACTAAAAAGATTTAAACTATATTATTCAACCAGTGTCACTAATAATTTTTATATGACACACAAATATGGCTATTCAAATGCCCAAATTCCGTCTATGTGGAACTTTATCATTCCTCCATTAGACCATCAAAAAATGTTTTTTTTTTTGTGTTGACTGTTGACACATTTGTTTTTCCTATTTTTGGGTTTTTTTAAAATATGTAATAATTTTGTTCTGAGACGCTCGCATATTTGTTCAATACTTCTAACGTATCGTATTTTTAAAATTTTTATAATTTTATCGATTTTTTCATCTCTTTTACAGTTCACAAAACTCTTATTGATTATTATTTACACATTTGGAGTGAAATAGTTTTTCCATGGCCAACTATTATCAAGCAAGATATGTATTTAATTTTTTAAGTATAATTATAAAAAAAATATTCTGTTAGAAATATATATTTTTTAGATCAGAAAAAAATGAGCTTATGAGCCTATGATTTCCATTTAAAAAAATACAAGTTTATCTTATTACGGCTAAACAAATAACTGAAAAACAATACTTAACTACATTATTAAATTCTTCGTAAAAAAGTGCCTGTATAATGTCTTTATTTCAAATCTATGTCTTCTATAATAGCGAAGATATGACTTTTTTTTAGATTTCGCCAAAATGTCAATTTTTGTCTATAAGTCGAAAACAAAAGACGATAGCGGAATGCGGTTTTAACCAATATTATTTTCTCAAAAAATGAGCCCCCGAATGTATCACTCGTTTTTGGCTAAACATTTTAGTTTCGGAGATTCCCTATTCAGACATCCAAAATGCAGCACCCTGTGTACACATTGAACACAATTGGACACTAATTTTACGACTGGAGTACTTAAAAAAAAACTTTAAAAACCTCAATTCATAAAAACATGGACAAACTGCATTTTGAAAGTCTGCTCCTCAAATATTATACCCACTGCCAATATTTTTAAAATTTAATGAAAAAATGGCATGCCCTTTAAGAATGTAGATATTTTTGTCACTATACATTGAGTTTCTGTTTACGTCACTATACATTTTACTTTACACCACTAGTGTAGTAAAATACCACTTTATGATACTCGTTTGCTCTTTGTAATATTTCAGATTAGGTGTTGATATAGCAGTAGGTACCGATTTACTGGACCTATAACGTAAAATACTATTGTCCTAATTGATTTTATAATGATGAGTTTGATTTCATCGAAATGACAGTTTGAGTAAAAATTTTGCACTTTTCCTGAATCGAATATTGGTCCGCCCCAACCATCTCTCCGCCTATGTCACCCTATACCATCCGTTATTTGAAAGAGCGCGCTAGCTCGGTTCCCTCCCCACCCAAGCCAGTCCCAGAATGGCGTGGTTTGCGCTTTCGTTGCCCTGCCTGTAACTTGTCCAATTTAGCTAGCGTTGGGTGTCTTGCATAGGCCCATCACGCCCAGCCGTGTGTTTTATCAATTAGAAGTGTCCCACCGCGTCTCTAACAAACATTTTTGCGAAAAAACGGTGCTGCCTGTCGAAAATCAAGTAGGCCGTGTGACCATATCGATTTATAAGTGTGTGTATGTGTGTAAAGCACGGTTCACATCACACAACAAACGACGAGAGCAGTGTCCAACAATGAACGTAGGATTTATTCCGATGGACCGCAATAATGACAACTGAGGTGAACCAGAATTTAAAAACGGAATACGTTCAAAACTCGGCACAGGTGGGTGTTGTTGCTGTTAAGTTGGTGGTAATTTTAGGCCGTGGCCCGCTAGATTGTTAGTTTAGGGCGGAGATCGTGACGTTAGCTGTGGGAGTTGCTTTGTCCCGGTTCCAAGATAGGAGAGGAGGTCGAACTTTGGCTCCAACCAGGGGTCGGAACTCATCCTTCTTCTTGGATATCGAAACGAAGACTTCTTCATTTCGAGATGCTGAGCAAAGCAGGCGGGCGATTTTTTAAAGCCAACTGCGACCTGGTTTGACGCGCTATTCGATTGTTTTTGCCATTTCGTAACAGCGAAACACTATTTTTTGCGTTAATCAAGGTCTCAAGCAATTTATTCTTTTTGTGTAATTAATTACATGTGGTCAAAGGACGCCACATTTCCAAATGCGGAATTATAATTTAGCGATAAAATCAAATAGTTTTATTATCCAGGTGTACCTAAACGTCAAGCTTTGTACCCCGCTTAATGTATTTCTTTGTGAACAACTGTTGATATCATTTTTCAAGGTGGTCTTCACTTACTTACCTCCTTACCTGTGTGTCTAAACCGGTATTCTTTCTTCATGTTAAGTAATGTCACTTCCAGTTTGATAGGAAGCAATGATATCTTATCCGCCCATAGCGCTTTTTTAGAGTGTTTGCCATTCATTTCTTTCTCTATACTATACAGGGTGTTCCGTTTTTATTGTTACAAATTTAGACAGGTGATAGTATATTCAATTCTAAGACAAAAGTTTTCTATAAACATGTATCGAAAAATGCTTGGTAAGGGAGCTACACCCCCTGGAAGGGGGCTAATATGTTTTTGATAATATTTCAGAAACCATTTAAGATAAAATTACAAAATTTGGTACAGATAATAACCTTTATACACCTAAACGAATTGAAACATCAAATATGGAAATTTTTAATCAGGGGCGTACGAAACTGGAGGAGTTTAAGGTAAAAAATACCCTATTTATTTTGGCTTTAGTTTCTCGGTACTTTCAGCAACAAAATCTTAAGTTCGATAGTTCACAGAAAAGTCTTTCTTGTGTCGATACGACTTATTGTTTTTGAATAAAATTAATTTAAAATTTATGTTACACACCAATACAACATTCAAATAAATCAGAATTTACAGAATAATAAAAGAAAGAAATTCATATTTTTTAATCAACCTCAACTAATTAACATTACATTACAATAACAATAATAACATTAATTAAATGAATTTGCCTAAATCTAAAGGAGTTGTTCAAAGTGACCACCATTTTGGTCAATGCATAACTAAAGAAACTAGAGCCAAAATAGGTAGGATATTTTTTTACCCTAAACCCCACCAGTTTCAGACGCCCCTGATTAGAAATTTCGACATTTGATGTTTGAATTCGTTTAGGTGTATAAAGATTATCATCTGTACCAAATTTTGTAATTTTATCTTAAATGGTTTCTGAAATATTAGCAAAAACATATTAGCCCCTTTCAGGGGGTGTAGCTCCCTTACCAAGCATTTTTCGATACATGTTTATAAGAAACTTGTCTTAGAATTGAATATCCTATCACCTGTTTAAATTTGTAACAATAAAAACGGAACACCCTGTATAATAAAAATGAAGAGAAAATATTTTTTTATGTTTTACCCCAAGAGCTGGTAGGGCTGTAGTTATTTCTCCAAAAACGACACTTTTACTTCTAATAGTCCTTATAAAACAATATCAGAGTACTATTTTACTTTCATCCATGACTGGATATCTATTTATTGTTTTATTTATTTTCATTTTTGATTTACGTGTAAAATAGGTAGATTCAGTCATGCTTTGACTTAGGATAGGACGCCGTGAGGAATCTTAGTTCAAAAAAGCGTCGCGAGTCGAAAGCATTTGGGAACCACTGCTCTATCCGAACTACATAATTTATTATTATCCAACGGACTCTCGCATTAATGATTTTTCGAAGTATCTGTTTTTTTTTTTAATTAAAACGAATAAACAACTGAAAAACCTGTTTCTCTTTATTTCATTTATTAAAATAAACAATCATCGTTTGCGATAAAAAGTGTGCATATGAATTTCTTGAGACTGTTTCTGTTCCTAATAATAGTAATAATAAATTTACATTAATCTTTATTCATTTTACATTGAAAAAACTTTTTTCGTAATAGTGGTATTGTAAAAGAAATCTAAAAAAAGAATTGGTAAATTAACTTAAACAACAATTTGGGTTGTTAAAAATGTTTCAGTTATAACTGATAGGGATTTTGAAGTTTTTCTTTCAACATTTTGTTTGGAATTTTTACATTTACTACTACATAAGAAAATGAAGATTTCTTCTAGCAACTTTTGGTTCCATGTATGTACAGTTACGGAAATGTCGGGCAGTATTGTCATTTTCATAATGTAAAACAACCTTTATATTAATAATCTCATTTTTTACTCTTGTCATGTTTATGTCATTTTGACTTACATATTTATTCCTTGTCAAATGTCAGTCATGATGACAGTAAAAGGTAGTTTACAGTGAACTTTTTGAAGTGACAGAAAAATACTGCCCGAAATTTTTATTCCGCAACTGTACAGTGCTTCGATATTTTGAATGTTCCTTATAATGATTTTTGATACTCGTCTTGGCAAAAATTCAGGAAAATATTTGAACTTTAAGGGTACCTATATGATTGTTTATTTTTATTTTTCCCACTTTTTTTATGCAAAATCACTGTTAATTTTTTGACACGGTTCACATGCCTGTACAAGACATCCCATAGAAAAAATGTTTTCTCAATCATGATTCATGAGATGGAGTAATGAATTTTTAATAAAAAGATTTATTTTATTTATTTAATTTGAACTTTTGAAATAATTGAACGCGAATTTAGTTTCCCTAGGTTTAATGTTCACACTCAATATTTGAGTTGTAAATTAATTTATTTGTAAATCAAAAAAAAATGTGTTAAAAATGGTTGACTTAGATATAGGCGATAACACTTATTAGCCAATAAGGACAAACACAGTAGATAATGAACTGATTTTTTTAAAGTTTGTTTAAAATTAAGAGATTGAACACATTTTAGATTAAAGTTTATACGGCTACGGTAAGTAAAATGCATGAAGACAAACCTGTTTAATATTAATAGATTAATCCATTCCAAAATGTTTCAAAAGTCAAAATTGAAAACTTCTATAGTGAAAGTTTACATGTCATACACATCTAATATTGGATAAGTCAACAAGATCCTTGTCCTCTGTCTTGTCTATTTCTGTATCATTATGTATGTACATACATACATTGTCTTATGTTCATATACTTTGGAGAAAAAGAGTTTACAATCAATAAGTTCGCTCGGAAACGATTGTTTTTTTTTTTTCAATTATTTACAAAAAACAATTCGAAAATTCCTTTTCTTAATTAAAATTAATTCATATACTTCTGAAAATTGAAATTGTATTAATTAATAATTGTACCTAAGCTGGATGTTTTACTGCATATTTTGTTATATTGTGAAATTGTTTGTTAATTTTTTTAGGTACTACAGAGTACAGAGCTCCATTCAATGCTCAAATTGTTTTGTCATTAGTTCGGTAATAATAATGCACTTGCTTTGTTAATAGTTTTTAACTAATAAATCCGTGTATTAAAACTGCATAAATGGATGATTCAACTACCAATTGACAAATATGCTTGAAACAAACAAAGTGGTGCATCGATTTTATATTTATTATTTATTATCGTTGGGACACACAGTCCGTGATTACAGTGTGTTGGTTGAATTAATTATTGAGATGGAAAGCCGGGATATAATTAGTAATCTTGCTGCAACTGTACCTGTGTGATATTTTGATAGAATAGGTCTTCTAAATTGCATATCTCACTTCTCCTATACAAGCAAAATAATAAACAAAATGTTTTGATGTTTATAGTAGTTTGCCATCAGATACCTATCTGGAAAAATAGAACATTTCTGTTTGTTTTTCGATTATATTTGCTTATACCGGAAGAGCAAGGCCTTGTATCATTACAAGATTCACTGTTTGAATTATTTGTGTCGTATACCAGTTCTGGTAGATTAATAAATATGTTATAATGCAAGCTAGGTTTTATCCAAATACTGCTTCCTCCTTTGCATAGTTTGTTTTCTATTCTCAATTATTTTGTAATGTCAGAATTTTATAGTATTAATTAAAATTAGGAACAAAGTTGGAAAACTCTATTTTTGAATAATGCAGCCTTGCAACTCGTCGAAATTCCATCCAAAAATAAACGAATAATTTTGTTTGTTCGCGTGGTTGGAAATCCGTGCGATCGATAATTCAAAAATATCTTGAAACGTGTCGTCTCCGGCGATTTATGACTCGTCTCGCTCCATGTTTACACAGTCGGGTTTCCTGCTCTCGATACGCAATGCGTGTGCATCATTAAGTTTGCAGCAGTAGCAGCAAGGTCTCATGCCCCGCCCTGTTGTGATTGCAGGAAAACAAGCCCACCCCCTCGCCGCTCGCGCTGCTGGCCGCGACCTGCAGCAGGATCGGACCCACCTCGAGCGAACCGACGCCTCCCACCATCACCATGTCCAGTACGCCTACCCCCGTCAAGAACGTGCCCGTGGCCAGTCCCCAGGTGGTCAGCGTCCCCGTTGGCCTACCGCAGCAGATCTCCCAACAGTTACTGCAACAGCAGGGTGCGCAGATCGTCAGTGCTGCTGCCGCCGCCGCGGGACAGAACTTGGCCTACAATGTCATGCAGCCGATGCAGACGGTCACCGTTGACGGCCAGGAGGCGCTCTTCATCCCTGCCATGTCGCTTGCAGGTAGATGACACGATTTGGCAAACTCAACTTACGAAAAAAATTAATAAAACCAAAACAGGTCATTTGAACATCAAGAACGTTGAAAATCCGCATAATCGCTTTAAAGTACTTTAAGTTTTTCTTGTATTAAGATTATCACTCCAATATTAAATTGAAATTAATTAAATCAGAAGTCATTGTTGTATTGTTGGTTGCATAACACACATGATAAATGGTGTAAAAAAATAATAAAATAAAAACAGATCATTTGAAAATTAAGAACGTTAAAAATCAGCATAGCTACTTCAAAGTACTTTCAGTTTTTCTTGTATTAAGATTATCACTCTAATATTAGATTGAAATTAATTAAATCAGAAGTCATTATTGTATTGTTGGTTGCATAACACACATGATAAATGGTGTAAATTATTGTAAATTTTCTCAACAGACATGAAAAAAATGTAAAGATTCACAACAAAAATACTATTATATTGCTAAGTGGAAGTTTTTCTTTTGGAAAGGTGGCCAGCAGCCGCAGCAGCTCTTCAGCCCCGGTCAAATAATCCGCGCCCCCGGAGTGCTTCCTACCAACTTGCAGACGGTTCAGCTTTCTAACGGGCAAAGTGTCGCCGTCCGTCCCACAATGCCCCAAGTGGTCCAATTTCCGATGCAACAGACCATCCCGATCCAAGTGCCGATCTCGTCAGGCAATGGCCAAACCATCTACCAGACGATTCATTTTCCCGTTCAATTGGCCACAGCGGCCGTTCCCAATATCATCCAAGCCCAGCACATCATGCCTCAAGTCGCGAGTATTATCACCCCCAGTGGACAACTCCAGCAAGTGCAGATCGCGACGTCGGTGGCGGCGCCCGCTCAAACCCCCACGTCGGTCTCACAGAGCGCCACCGTCCAGTCCGATATCACCACGCCATTGACTTTCACGGGGGCCAACGGCCAACAATTCACTGTCATACCCGCCAGCAATTTGCAGCAGGTCAGGGGGACCAACATTATACAAGTTCCTAATATTCAAGCAATACCCACAGTGCAGAACATACCCGGTATGTATGACTTATTGTGCCACCACATTAGACAAGGATGCAAAATTAATGTTACAAAAAATGAAAATAACAGATCCTCATGGTACCCAGATACCTTTAGCAGTTCATTTTTAACATTTCACATCAAGTAAAGGTTTTTCTTTTGTAACTTGCATAAAGGGTGAATAAAAAGTATGGAACCAAATGTTTTTTGCTTAAACTATTTATTTTTTGAAAAAAGTATTTAATGAATTATAAAGTACCGTGAGATTAAAAATTATCTTGATCAAGGGTGGTCATGGATTTTAAAATAATTGTCGTATGTTAGAGACATTTTCATATTTGATGGCGAAAACAATAGACGGTTAAACGTCAGAAAATTTCGTTCGTTAATTATTTCAGAATGTCACATATTTGTAATAAAAAAATTATTACTGCTCAAGCACAAGAAATAATTTGTCACACGTGAGACTACTTGAGAAGAATCTTTCCGATAAACCTTTTTAATGAATGTGTTTTATTATTTTACTAAGTTATAGAATTCCCTTAAACTTAATCCCACTTGTAACGTTTATGAGAAAATTGACACTGACTAGTAAGTTTTGTGACATTTTACAGTGTTTTGTTTTCGCCATCAAAAATGAAAATGCCTCTATGTGAGTCAAACATTGACCGAATTATTATTACGACAGACGTTTTCTATTCTATGACCACCCTTGTCCAAGATAATTTTTGATCTCACGTTACTATAAAACTGGGACGTTTCATCAAGAATATTTTTTTTAGAAATGTTCTTTTGTTTTTGAGTTCTGCAAAAAATTTTTTTTTAAATGGCAATCACAAAACCATTTTTTTCATAAAGGCTATGAGTCTATGACCTAAGGATTGCAGCTACCTACTTTATATTCAATTTTTATCAAAACATGTTTTTTAATATAAAAACAAAACAAAATTTCATTCTCAAAACACGATTACACTTTTTACAGCACTTTAATTTTTATTAATTATTATTTTCTGGAAGCAAAAGAATAAAAAAAAAAAAAACACTCCATACTTTTTAGTCATCCTGTATATTATGTATAGTTACTTACGAATTCAGGGCTGTTAAGAAGACCATAATGACCGTTATGGCCTTTAACAGCACTTGGCACGTACAACGTTTTTCGTCGTATTAAAGTACCATACAGGCTGCGCCAGAACTCGCGTCCCAGAGTAAAATAAGGTAAGATAGCAGGAACATGGAAAAAATGTTAATAAAAATTTCGAAGTTATGAGGGTTTAAAGTTTGCACTTTATATAATTTTCAAAGTTTTTTTGCTATAGGCTATTAAAAAAGGAAACAACGAAGCTCTTTCCTAAATTCTAACTCTGTTCAATGTTTGTGGCTTTTATTGCTAAATTTTTGTTCCTTTACTAAATAATTGTAAAAAAAAAACATATACAAGGTCATCAGTATCATTAAATAGACATAAAAAAATGTCAAATGTCAAAATTTTTTGACAGATAGTTTTTTACCCATTTTTTTCATGTTCTTTACCTTACTTGAAAATTTTTTCTGGGGGCGAGTTCTGACACACTGTATAAAAATAAATTTTCAAATTTTGAAAAAGTCAATATTTGAAGGTTTAAACTGTCAAAGCTGTCAAAAAGCCGAACGTTAAATGAAAAGCGGGCTGTTAAAACCTTTTAACAGTCCTGTAAGTTACTAGGGTATTATTGACAGCTTAACGGTTGTAAATTGTTGAATGTTATTTATACCATAACAACACGGAACAACGAAAAAATGATAACAAGGAATAGAATATTAATTAAAGTACAAGTTGCAGAAGGTTTCAAGCACAATTTGAGGAACAAATGACTGCTTGAAGAACCTTCTGTAACAAGTGCTTTATACTTTACTCCATTTTGCCGCTTTATATCATTTTATAAATTAAAAGACGAGATTTTTTTTCTCTAGAGAATTTTGCAACGGTTGGCGACATTTATGTGGAATAATGTTAGGCGGCTGTGAAAAATAAAAATAATTCTTGTTTTCGCATTTGGAAATGAATAGTGAATTAAATCTGTCACTAAAATTAAATTAACGCCAACGACTTATTAAAGCACTCAAATGACGTCATTTGGGTGATGGAATAGACTTATTTTAAACGCAAAATAGAAAAAAAAACCTTTTAGCCACGTTTATGAATAATTTTCCGATAAAAAACACGTCGTCGTGGAAACGTTATGGTATCTATGGTTTCCATGAGGAATCAACAATTTTTTTTTTTCAATTCAGTGGTGTGTGTGATAAAATAAAACAAATTTTTGTTATAAAACAACTGAAATCACAATCGAATTTTCATGGATAGCTAAATTTAAAAACACCACCGTTCAACTTTTACGGTTTTGGTACATTTAGCTAAGAATAACCTGAGTTGTCTCAGATATTCTTGTTGTAGCAAAAAAAACTTGTTTTCTCATTAATGATTAATTAGTGTCGGGTTTAGGTCTGGGCAACGTGCAGGTGATCGCGCAGCCGACGGCGGCTTCGCAGCTCGCCGTGGGCCAGCACATCCAGCAGGACCCCAACGACCCCAACAAATGGCAAGTGATCCCCAACGTCACCACAACGCAGCAAACAACAGCGCCACTCACCCCCGGCGTCGTGGTCACCGCAAATCCACCGGAAATGAATAACTCCACTCCAGTTGGTGAAAACGGTCAAGACGGCTTACAAAAACAGCGAGTTCGGAGGGTGGCATGCACGTGTCCTAACTGTCAAGAGGGCGAAAGACATGCTGATCGCAAAAAACAGCACATCTGCCACATCCCCGGATGCAACAAAGTGTATGGAAAGACGTCACACCTAAGGGCGCATCTCCGGTGGCACACGGGGGAAAGGCCATTTGTGTGTAGTTGGCTGTTCTGTGGTAAACGGTTCACACGGTCGGACGAGTTGCAAAGACATAGAAGGACTCATACGGGAGAAAAGCGGTTCCAGTGCAACGAATGCAGCAAGAAATTTATGAGATCGGACCACTTATCTAAGCATCTCAAGACGCACCAAAAGCAGAGGATTACGGTAAGGAGGTGTTTGTTGTGTGTGTCACTTAGATGGTGTTAATGGTGTAAAGATTAATAAGAGTGCAGTTTTCACCAAAATTGGGGTTGTAGTGTTGCACTTTAATTGAACTTTCCTTCTTGCATTCTGGTTTTTAATTTTATTTAACGGTGTGTCTTACAGCGGATTAATGGAGACGACGTTGACGATGTTCATGAAGACAAAGATGAGTGGGATGACGCCCAGTCGGACGAGCAAGCAAAACCTATGTGGATTACAGACAATAAAAACAATATTAAATACGAAATCACTCAAGTTAATTACGCACAGGTAGTTAAATTGAATTTATAACATCTCATGTGACTTTTACCGCTTTTGGTCATGTCACTGGAATCTTTACACCATTATTGAATTAAATTACCAGGATTTGTACAACAGTTTAATTTCATTTTACCGATTTGTTACAGGAGGCTGCAACATCGACTCAATCTGCCTCGTCGGATAGTTCCAGTGAAGAAAAAATGATGATTACGATTAGCACGTCCGAAGCTGATGAACTGATCATCGCAGACCCTCTCGACAGCTGAGCTTCCATCTTTTTAATCGAGTCGGAATGCTCCTTGTAAAAGTTGTTTAGTTATGTTTAAATGTTTGTACAAACGCTGTATAAAGTTTTTATCTGAATATATAGTTTATTTTATAAACTTGTGCTTTATTTGCTCCGATATCCTTAACTGATTAGAATTATAATACTCAAAGCAAGTTAGTAAATTAAATTAAATATAATTACAAAATTCTTTCATATTTATTTGAAAAAAACCATGGAAAATCGTCGCAAACTCGTTTCTTAAAGGCGACTAATAACACAAGGCGTCAAAAAAGTCATGTCGTGACAACTTGACAAATTTTATATCATTTTGTTCGTCTCAGTGCACAAAATGCACTAAAAAAAAATTCAAAAAGTCAACACTTTGAACTTAATATTTTTTTCTAATTTAAATGAATTTAAAATACTTTAACTTTAAAAAATTATTCCTCAATAACTTTTAGGCCAATTTCCTTCAAATAAAGACAATTTTTTAAAGGGTTGGACTTGCCCTTTAGAATGATATGCAATTTGAAATTGAATATTGGCAAACTTTTCTTTGAACAGTGTTCGAAGAAGATCGAAGTAATCTAAGAAAAACCCTACGAGTAATTTTTTTTCTTCGTCACCATCATGTAGAGCATCTTTTTATTAATAAGAATTAAAATTTTTAAAGTAATATACCGAGTAGTTTTTAAGATATAATTTTTTGAAGTTAAGGTTTGCTTTTCAGGTATTGCGTCATATAGGAGAAATCCATGTTAATCTTACTTAAAATTGTATTTTTATAAAAGTATTTGTTTTAAGACTCTTCTTTTGCTTAAAAATGGTCAATTGCACCTTCTTTGTTCTAATTTGAATAAATAAAAACTGTTTCTTTACTTAAAACAAACAAAGAGTACCTGCGTACTGCAGTTTTTTTGTTGTAAAAATGACCACTGATCATTGAGCAAAGAGGATCTAGAAGTTTAAGGCACGAGCTTTAAATATAAGGGCAAATCTTTTTCAAATAAAATCACTTTCCATTCAGATTTCGACTTGTTCACTTTGTTCTAGCTTTCTGAACTTTTTTTGAAAATGTTCTGAGCAAATGCTTTCTCATCACTTTCAAATGATGTTAAATGCAATAAGCCACCTGATTTATTTTGTTGGTACATTCTACGATTAGCTTCAGTTAGCTTGTACTTCAGTAGTCGTTATGATAACAGTTGCACACGAAGCAACTGACTTATTGCATTCAACTTCAGTAGAAAATGATGAGAAAGCATTTGCTCAGAACATTTTCAAAAAAAAAGTTCAGAAAGCTAGAACAAAGTGAACAAGTTGGAATTTGAGTGGAAAATGATTTAATTTGAAAAGGATTTGTTCTTATATATAAAGCTACTGTTAAACTTTTTGCTCAATGATCAGTGATCATTTTTACAACAAAAAAACTCTTTATTTGGTTTAATTAATACGCAGGTACTCTTTGTTTGTTTTAAGTAAAGAAACAGTTTTTGTTTATTCTAATTAGAACAAAGAAGGTACAATTGACCATTTTTAAGCAAAAGAAGAGTCTTAAAACAAATACTTTTATAAAAATGCAATTTTAAGTAAGATTAACATGCATTTCTCCTATATGGCGCAATACCTGAAAAGCAAACCTTAACTTCAAAAAATCATATCTTAAAAACTACTCGGTATATTATTTTAAAAATTTAGATACTTATTAATAAAAAGATGCTCTACTTGATGGTGACGAAGAAAAAAAGTTTACACGTAGGGTTTTTCTTAGATTACTTCGAACTTCTCCGAACACTGTTCGAAGAAAAGTTTGTCAATATTCAATTTCAAATTGCATATCATTCTAAAGGGCAAGGGGTTTTTAAATTTTTTTTTAGTGCATTTGATTTGTCTCACTGAGACGAACAAAATGATATAAAATTTGTCAAGTTGTCACGACAAGACTTTTTTTGTCGCCTTGCGTAATTATAGTCTAAGAGCCCGCGGTCGCCAGACCTTCGTCATTTTTAAAAGCTGAAAATTTGTCAGCGCATACTTCCAACACAGGTAGGAACGAGGGGCAAGTATGAAGTTTGGGTCATCGTGGCTTTGTGAGATAACAGGTAGCAAAAAAGTAAAAAATGTTAACTTAAAATTATCAAATAAAAAAGCGTAATTGTTTTATATTTTGTTCGGAATAATATTAGAAATCACCTCATCCATTGCAGACACTTAACTTCGTGGCAACCCCTAGTCAGACACCCTTAAATTTTAATAAATTGTAACTGTACTTACGGTATACTATAAAATCTGAATTTTATACATGTTACTTGGGTAACTATTATAAGATGTTTTCTCATTAGCCAGTCAGTTTTGACAGTTCTAAGTGCTAAGTTTTAAATAAAATAAATATGATTCAGTTTTGACAAAGTATCATCATGGGAGGCCTATAGCTACCCCATATGTTTGTCTGGTCGGGGGTAAAACTGTCGAAACTGTCTGGTTACTGACAGAAAACATCTTCTAATAGTTGTCTAAGTAACATGTATAAAATTCAGCTTTTAAAACAGTTGCAATTTATTAAAGTTTAAGGGTGTCCGACAAGGGGTTGCCACTATATTAAGTGTCTGGCAATGGATAAAGTGATTTCTAATATTATTCCGAAGAAAATATAAAAAATTACGCTTTTTTATTTGATAATTTTAAGTTAACATTTTTTACTTCTTTGCTACCTGTTATCTCCCAAAGCCACGACGACCCAAACTTCATACTTGCCCATCGTTTCTACCTGTGTTGGTAGTATGCGCTGACAAATTTTCAGCTTTTAAAAATGACGAAGGTCTGGCGACCGCAGGCTCTTGCTCTATTAGCGAACTCACTATAAAAATAAGGAAGGAAATAAGTCCCTGTCAGCCTTTGAAAACCAATTTATTAAATATATAAAATTATAAAACACTAAAGCATTTCAATTTCTTATGCAATGGACTTCAACCATATGCTTTTTGTACCCCTCCCTATAATTGAAAGCTTCAGGGCATAAATGACAACAGTACATATTGGTTAGATCTGAATGCACCAACCTGACGTGGTATTTCAGAGCAGATTGATTTGAGTAGACTTTGCCACAATGTGGACAATTGCCACACTGTGAGCTATGATGGGGCTGTACATCAGGCGCTCGCGAAATCTGGATATTCCCTTCCCTTTGTATAATATCGTCTGGTAGCGCGTCAAAGCTGTCATAAGAGTCTTCCTCTATTTTGATGGTTTGTTGGAGAAATTCAGATGGACGGTCAAAAGTTGAAGGACTTGATGAATTTGATGATGTTGACTTGATGCGTTTTTCGAAATCTTCTGGAGGCTTTCTAGGAATGAAGACCGATTTGGAAGCGTCAGACAAGCTTTGCAAGAGGCCGAGTTGGTCCTGGCTAAAAGGAACAGACGAAGGGGATTTACCTGCAATAATAAATTTAAAAAAAAATGGTCAGGACAGGTCAAAAGTGATAATTACCGGCCACTGGTTGTGACGTTAGGGACCTCTCTAAGATGCTTTCAGGCTTTTCAAGGGCAGCCTCTAAAATCGAACCCTGTTGGTCCCCCTTCTCACTCACAACAACCTCAACATTCTCATTTACATCAGCACAAAATTCTTCCTCACTGTCATTTATGTTTGCTTTGATTTTATCAGTTTCAGGCACTGAACTTGATGACTCCTTAGTCGCGCAAATTTCTCTTGGAGAGTTTGGGTGCGCATTATCACTATTTATCACTTTGGATTTAGATTTGTTCAAAACTTTAATTTTTTTCAATGGTTGTTCTACAGGGTCGTTTTTTTGAGGTTTGGTTTTCTTTGGGGACTTTTTAGAATATGTTTCATTTGTAGTGTTTAACCCAGATACTTGTAACAGTTTGGCAGTCTGTAAAAACGAAGCTAATTGTTCCTCTGACACCAAAACCTCCCCATGGTACATAAAATTAATTATGGCAATTAAATCCGTGTAGAGAACGTCTTTTAGGATGATAATAGGATGAGAACACGGATTTTCCTGCAAAATAACGGAATTTACCCTCACGTCACTGAGAACTAGAACACCAAATAACCACCTTAAAAACTGTCCGAAAATAAGGACTACAAGCAGACAAAATAAATTTGTGTGCTTTCACGTTGATTCCTTCGCAAGTTAACGTGACATCTGTGAGGTCTTCAGTGTTTTGTAAACTTTCAAACGCATGTAGGATATTGTTCTGAAAATTGTTCCATTTTAAACAAAATTGTTTTGAAGTCATTATTTTGTAACACTGCTCGTTGTCTCATTTATACGAATGTTTTGTCTTACACAATTAATTAAAAAAATATAAATAAATAATTAATTAAAATGGAAATGAAAATAACCACGTATTAAAATGAAAACGAAAACATTCATGAATGAAATGTCAAAAGTGTCAGCTGTCAAAGGCAACTTCTAGACGACCATCTAGAAACTCCCGACGTCACAAAAATAAATTTAAAAGAAAATTTTGTCAATAAAAAACATTTTTTATTTTATTTTAATGTAGTATTTATATTTTGTTACAGTTTTTAAAACACTTAATTAAAAACATAGTTTTAATACTTTTCTATCATTCAGGCTTATACCAAACTACGACCATGGTAGTCTAGTAAGAATCTTTTGGTCCACTTGTTGATTCAAATTTTTATAAATCTTTATCAGCTTTGTTTTCGTTATCTTTAAATAGTCGTCCCGTTACTTTTTTGCTGTGCAAAATGTTGGAAAGAAATCCAGGTTGTGAATTAGGTGGTTAAATTAAACTTTAATCAAACTTTATTTCTAACATTTTCCTTAAAATTCTAGATTTAGGATGGCTAAACAGCGTAAACATAAACCTAAATGCTGTCAATACCGCTGTTGAAGACATCCTTAATTCTAGAGACTTGAAAAACGATTACAGAGCAGCTTGGTTACTCAGAGCTGTAACTTGCATTGACTTAACCACACTGGGGGGCGATGACACACCAAGTAATGTTTCAAGATTGTGTTACAAAGTATCAGATAACATAATTATCTAAAAATTATTAAATGGAAGTCTTTCTAGGCTGCAAAACCTTTACCTGAAGACTTACTGAACCAGTTAGGTTTTGATTATAATTCTGACTGTCCTATTAGGACGGCAGCAGTTTGTGTTTACCCATCTCGAGTTGAAGACGCTGTTAAAACCTTGAAAAAGTTAAAACTCACTGATAAGATTAATGTAGCTTCTGGTATGTAGCAATAATTGCAAAACTTGTATTAAATGTGAATTCTAGTTGCAACAGGTTTTCCCAGTGGTCAAATGCCACTAAAGACAAGAGTTGAGGAAATCAAATACGCTGTAGAAAAAGGGGCTACTGAGATTGATATTGTCATTGATAGGAGTTTGGTTTTGACTGGTAAATGGGAGGTTTTATACCAGGAAATCCAGCAGATGAAAGAGGCTTGTGGGTCCACTGCTCATATGAAGACTATTTTAGCCACTGGTGAATTGGGAACACTAAACAATGTTGGTTTTGTCTTTCTAGACTATTTTTGAAAGGTAATTGGATTGTTTTGAAGGTGTATAAGGCATCATTGGTTGCAATGATGGCAGGTTCTGATTTTATCAAAACCTCCACTGGTAAAGAAAGCCTTAATGCTACTTTACCTTTTGGTCTTGTTATGAGTAGGGCTATTAGGGAATATTACGAAAAATTTAATTACAAGGTAAAAAACATTAAAAAGCATATTTTAAATAACTGTTCTTCTTGAAGGTTGGCTTAAAACCTGCTGGAGGGATTAGGACAAGTAAAGACGCAATTTCCTGGTTGATAATGGTCAAAGAAATATTGGGAAATGATTGGCTTACTAGCAGGTTGTTTCGCTTTGGTGCTTCTGGGCTTTTGTCTGATATTGAGCATCACCTTTATGGAAATCTTACAAAATCTTATCCCGCTCCTTATGAATTTACGATGGGATGACTTAAAAGTTATTATGATGACACCGGTGAATTAAATAATGTAAAAGATTTTCGTTTTTTAAAATAAACATTTAGTTTTTCTTAAAAAAAAAATTATTATTTGACCCGCTGTACACAGTGATATGCTTGGTTGCATACTATATAATTGAATATTAATTGTATTTAATAAAATTATTAGATTTGCTCTATTTAAATTACATTATGCATAATTTGATTACGGTTCATAATTAAATAAGTCGAAATGTTATTTAAATTTTTAATGTATTTCATAAAATATTCTCTGTTACTCAATTTTTTTCTCACTTTATTGTTTTGATTTTTATTTATTTAGTTTTTAATATTTGGGTTGAATTGGTAATGACACATGTATTATTAAAACTTTTATTCACGTAATAATAAAAATAGATAACAAGAGAGCTGCAACACCATCTCTCCAGATCCTTTAAACCTAATACTAGAAACCAATATAAAACATTGATTTATAATAGCGTTATTTGAGCGTTTTTAAAACATTGAACTAACAAATTAATATTTGCCGAAATTTCCATCTGCATGGTAACCTTCGTGGGGATGTGCGTCGTAGTGAACCATTTGCAATTTTCCAAGTTTATCGAAGAAACCAAAATGACCCTTCACAATCCCCTCTTTATCTCTTTCTTCATATCTGAACTGCCTGTTGTGACTGTAAATAATAACAAAATACGTGAGTGGGTAATTACCTGTTTCGTGCAAGGTTACTATATTACACTTCCTTATATTTTTCTTACTGTAGACATTTTTGCGCAATCTGAACTCGAATTACCATAAACATGACAAACCAACCTGACCCCATTCATGTCACTCTTGGGAAAATTAATAAAAGCGTTCATATGCGTAAAAAATGCGTAATTACGGTTGATAAGTTTAATGCTTGTATGAAGTATCAAGGTTGATAGTAAAGCGTAGTAATTTTTTAAATGTGTTAAAGCTGAATCAATGGTAACGGAAAAGGATTAATTAGATCACAAATGAATATTAACAGCACTTATATGTTACTAGTGTTAGAGTAATGAAATGATTGTGTTAAGTATGTGTTAACACCATGATTTATAAATATTTCAATTAAAAACATGAAACATTTCATTACACAATAGGAAATAATTTAAAATGTGCGTTCCACCATAGTTATTTGAAACAGTGCAAAACAATTAATGTTTGAAAAATATTGTGGAAAAGAGAAAGTTGAAAGAACTATTTTTATTAGCAATTTTTTTTTATTTATTTATGGAGGCGCAAATCGTTTAAGTGCACTCAAGTGCAAACCAACATAGGATGCACTTATTGTTTTTAAATTTTGTATTTATTTTCAAGGGAACAAAGTGATTTTATTGGACCATAAATGAAAAATGAAGCGTTTAGAACCCACATAAGCAATTTGATTAGATAAATGGTTAAATGAGTTGTTTTTTTTACATCAAAACTCTTCTAATTCGCACCAAATTACTGTTAATTATCTCTTGTCTGGTATTTTGACGTGAAAAAGCAGAAGAAAGCAAGCGAGAGTTACCCTTTGCCAGTATCAAACCCCCACTTGTAACTGTGGGGTCCATCATGCCCCTGCATATGAAACTCATGCCTTTCCCCATGCGGCGAAGAAGAAGAAGAAGAATGAGTGAGAGGCGAAGAACCCCCAAGAGAAGCAGTTAAATCGGCGCTGAACTTGCCGACCCCTTCATCACTCTCGACAAACCCAGCATGCGAAATCTTAGGCTGGGCAAAGAACTGTTGTACCTGAAGATCTTTCTGATTTTCTTTCTTCGCCAAATTATCGTAAACTTTAGTCAAACTCTTCTGTTTGGCAAGGAACTGTTTCTCGTTGATGGGTTCCAAAACGATCTCTTGCTTGGGTTTGCTAGAGTAGGGCTTGCTTTTAACGTGGACATCTTTGTTAAATTTCTTGGGGTAGAGGTTGGTGGGGATGTTTTGTTGGGTGAGGGAGGCTGGAACTTCGTAGAAGAATTTGGGGTCATTGTCGGGGTTCCAGGCGGTTTCCGAGGGGGCGACGAGGTCTTGCGCCGGAATGGGGACTTGGTAGTAGTTGGGCTCGGAGTTGTACTGGGGGGCTTTCAGGGCTGTGGTGATGTCAGGGACGTAAAAGGGGACTTGGGCCGACTCGGATTTGGGCAGTTGGAGGTTGGTCGGTATGGCGAAGGTCTCGTAGGTGATGGGCTCGTCGTAGGGGCGGGGGTTGTAGCTGTCATCGGTTTCTTCGGTTTGGTAGGGCTTGGGGCTTTTTGTCGTCGGTCTCGCTTTTGCTACTGTGATAATAGCAACGCAGTATACCTGAAATTAATACATTAGTATTGTTTTAAAGAGAACAGGTAGTGCTTGCAATGTTGTGTCTAATTGTTTTTGCTGGTAGATATGTAACTTATGGTAAAAAGTAACGCAATTTTGCTTTTAGAGCAATAAACTTACAACACTAGCTACTTATTGAAACTATTTCCGCGTCTCTACGACATAATAATACTTTCTTTTTTTAGCACTTTGCTATCAAGTAGCGTTGTGTAATTAAGTAAATTGTTTATATTCAAAAAGTGGCATCCACCGCGAGGTCCTCGATCCCAAAATATAGAACATCACTTTTGCAATATGCCACATGATGTAATTGGCAATAGAGTGACAATACAAATGATCATAAAAGTAAAAGGGCAACGTGCAAAGCTTGTAATGGATTGTCTTAAGCTACGCCTACGACACCCATCCTATAAATTATGAGTCAAAAGTCATCGCAAACGAGATAATTATTTTTAATAGATGCATTATAAAATCGGTTACGATTATTACAGGGCACAGACTGATAGACTGCTTTCATTTTCGATCAGATCAACCTTTCACTTTTTTAAATAAACGGTGCATTTCTCTAGCAGTGAACTTGAGGTAGCTGGACTTTCTCCCCATTTCTTTGAAATGCGGTTACGGTGGCTGAACTGGTTCAGGAGATTCAATGCGTGAATAAAAAATGCTCGCGGAGAGATTAGGAACTAGGAAAACCCCTGTTAATTCAGTTCCTGACTGGTAAATTGTTTCATTTTGTATAGCAATTGTTCTTATGTAATATGCGAGGGTTTTGGAGGATTTGCAACAATTTGGAGCTTTCTTTTTTAATTTTATTTCGGGCAACGATCGTAAAATTTCACTTTCATAGTAGATTCACATCTTCAGCATTGACAAAATAGGACGTGCTAATCTTAGAAACTAATAGACTTCAAGCCGGAAACTGTTTGTTTAAAAGACGTTTCAATAAGCGGATAATTTGTCACTTGCCATTTTGCAATCGCAATACATAATCTATATAATTTATTTCTTCATTTTCTTTAGGTGGGAACTCCGTTTATTCCATAAATATGCGTTTTAAAGTTTATATAATCAAACAGGTCACTGTTTAAATTTTTTTATTTACAACTTTGTTTCGTCACGATTGATTTGTACTTCCCGTCATTAGCCAAAGTGTGCTTCTTCACTGAGTATTTTAATTGATTTGCTATAACCCGTATTTGCACGTGCGAAGGTTAGATTTAATTTGTTTTTTGTCTGTTGCGTCTTAGTTTTGTTAGAACTTACAATTACTAAATATTTAAATCTAAATTGATTATTTTAATAAATTCTTACTCAACAAACTTTCATTTCCAATGACTTATTAGAGCAAAAGTCAATGAATTAAAAGCGAATTAATAAATTATTTTGATAAAAAATTATTAACGACATTTTGGAAACAAAACACTGGGCATACTAGTTTAAACATTTGCAGTCGGTTTCAAATTGGTGTGAATATTCAAGGACAGATAAACCAAAACATAATTCGTTGAGTTTTGACAGCAATTTGAAACAAATACTATTTACCTAATTCTTCATTGCGTTATTTGTAATTTTTTTCACTGATTTCCTTGTTTACTTCTCAAAAGAGTTAAAAATTCATACAGACTTTTATTTACTCTTGTAGGACGGACATACAATATTTTTTAGGCCTTATTTAGAAATATGTTGTAGTTTGAAATTAATGATAAATATCTTGTTTTTATCTCTCCTTGTCTAACAGTAAAATCGTTAAAATTTTGATAGTAGAGAATTATGTAAAACTAAATTTATTTAATGTAAATAACAGTAAAAAGTGAACATTTTATTATTATTAGTAGTAGTAGATAGATCTGCTCTAAATTTAATCAAAATTTACATAAATAATTAATTTTTCATATGGAATATCTCTGTATTTTTTTTTTTTAGTATTTGCAATTCAGAAACTCAGTAGTTGTTCCCATTTATGACATATTTGAAAATTCGTGTTGTAAGACTAGTTGTTGAAATTAACCTTGAAACAAAATCCCAAAATGGTAATATTTCTCTACTTGGCATCCCGTAAACCGGTATAGTTGTGCAAATTTATGATCGATTGAACCTATTCTGTTTAAAAAAAAAAAAGATTTATGTACAATAATTACACTTAATGTTTGTTTACACAAACAAAAAACTACTTCCTTCAAATTTTAATTTGAATTCACTGCAGGATTTATTTGTAATATAATTTGGCACTACTCCATTCAAACTTTATAATTAAAATAATTATTTAGCGACCTTGTATATTTTTTGGTATTAGTTCTTTCTAAAACAGACAAGATGTATCACGAAGTGAATTTAATTAGTTTGAAGCGCCGCAAAAAGCTTGTAAATTCCCATGGAATTTTTAAACAGTGTAAATTTACAAGACCTTGAAATAAATGTCTTTTCGGTTCGGCATGAATGGATTTAGAAATAGTTTCTGGTGCATGAAAGTAATTTTATTTAATATTGGAGAGAAAGTGAAATATGTTAGTGCCAAAAAATGAAAGTGATGTTTGACATTGGCCATCATTTGGAATTAAGAAGATTAGTGTTTCAGTTCCTATTCCCAAAGTAATAATTTACAAAATGTTTAATATTTTTAGCAAAATTGCAAAACTAGTGAAAAAAAATAAATTGCACTCAAAAAATTAAATGAAGGAAAAGGTATAAAAAAATGACTGCTTTAACAAAATAAGTATAAAAATATTTTATTGCGTCGAAATTTTACCAATTTGCGAACAAAACCTAGATAATAAATCATTTGAAGGTGAGCTAATAAACAAGACGTAATAAAGAAGGAAAAAAACAGAAGGAAAATTGATTGGAATAAAGTACAACTTACCAGTTTATAAAGAAAAGCCATTTCTTAGTCTACACCAAACACTATTTCACTTTGGAACTCCAACAATAATATAAACATAATCGTCCTTTCTAAGCTCTTATATAGTTTACCATTTCTCCCGCGCGGATTTTCGTACGTCACCTCAAAAATACTCCAACAATCCCATTTCGACTCATACCTACTTTACGAGTAATATTACAACGACTTTTTTGCCAATATCTCAATTCCAGAAGTTTTATCACTTGAAAAGGTAAAAATCTTTGAAGACAAGTAGTTTTAAAAATCCGGTAGTTTTATTAACACTTAATAAGAAAGTGAAAAAGTTGTATGTTTAGAGCCGCTCTATTGACACACTGTCATCGATAAGTAATTTTACTACACTCAGTTACAAGTTAAACTAATTATAAATGACTTTCACGTTAAATCATTATTTTTCCTCAAATTTATTGTTTCAGATGGTAAACATAAAGCTTTGTGTTAAATGCTGTTTAATTTATGGATCCAATCACGTATAAATAACAATAACATTCCTTCATTAATATTTAAATTTGATTTATCTGAAGAATGTGCCTTGCATTATAATGCGCCTTGTTCATTGTTTGCTATTTTTTAAAGCCGTCAAGCGTGTCATTTTTTGATAAATCCAATCTTGGAGATACGTATCCAATAATATGACACGACTTTTTGTCCTCGGTGGTATTTATCTTGACGGAAGTGGTTTCGAGTAAAAATTTTGCTCCGAATTAATTTATTCATTCATAGTAGAAAGTCCATGTATATGAGGAAACGCAATTTTGAATCTTAATCGAGAAAAATCATATCAATCATAATGATAAATCAGTTTTCCATCACGGAGAAATTTGAGAATTTTCGTAATTGAAGAAAGTAAAGCTACGAAAAAATTAAATGTCGCGTTATACCCAAGTGTTTACCAATAATGGATAATAATCAATTCAGATAATTGTGCAATGTGTACATTGTTTGAACGGTTACATAACCGCTAAATTTTTAATTAAACACAGCATATTCAAAGTTTTTTGAATAGAAACAGTGCGATTAGAAATTTTATTAAAAAATTACCGGAAACTATTCATATTTGTCTTTTGCTATTATTGCAATCGAGTTTTTATCCTCTACAATTTTACACTTTGTGGAAACGAAGTATTTGTTCGTGACAATAAGAAGGCAAAAATGTAAATTGTTAGGTAACGAAGCTATTAACCAGGAGGAGGAATTAAAACGCTTTCGGTTGTGTTAATTAATGCAAGTGATAACCTAGACCTACACATTAATATTTATTTATTTTGTTGCATTTGACAATCAACATTTGTGTTAAAAATTTCGTCATTAATAAACTCATTAGATTCGTTAAAATTTTACAAAGTTCACTGCTGATACTCGTAGTTTTATTGAATCAGTTATTTTAATTAGTTTGAGTCATGAATTACTGTCATATAACATTTTTCAAACGATTTGCGTATCTTCCGCAATTATCTATAAGACCAAGTTTAACCTTGCTAATTATTTACCATATAGAAAGAAGTAATTGCTCACGAATTAAAGATAAGTAAAAATTACATTGTTATTTTATATGGCTCTGTATGTCAGTCATCTATTCTCATTTTGTCACATTAATTACTTCGTAATTCCAATAAGATGATAAAGAGTTTTCTCTAGAGGTCGTGCAAGAAATGTCAAAAAATCACTAGTTTACACAACGATGGAGCAAAAATAAAATAATTATTAGTATTAGTTCCGGTCGTAAGAATTATCAGTTTTAAAATTCACCAGTCATTACTCGCTGTTTTGTTTATTTTGAAACGTTTTGAAACAATGCAATATTTCACAATACGATAAGAACAGAATTGCTGCAATTTAAATCTATTATAATTTAGAAAATATATTTTTAAATGTTAATAATAAGGTACGAAATTATTTTCTTACTCATTTTGTTGCAAAAAACAGATTGGTACAAGTAATAAGAAAAATGCATTGCGATTTTTGCATATTTGTGAAAGTCAAGTAATTACAACTGTGATTCTTTTAAACGGATTGTATGTAAGATTTAGAGATTTCGGTGCAGTAAAAGAGAAGATGGGTGGGATACGGTTTTGCACAATACAGTAAAACACCTACTTGTGGTTTGTAGGTGTGTTATTTGCATATTTTTAATTTTTATCTTTGAAAATGTATTAAATTACAGCCTTTCTTGAAGAAGTTTTAATAACGCTTCAACTGACATTATTTGCAAGAGTCTGAAGTAATTTTTGCTTTCTCGTTTTTGACAATATTTCGTCGCCGTAATTGTCTTATTTATAAAAGGAGAAAGTATCATTAATTTACTTATTTTTAATTCATAGCTGGTTTAATTTTGTCATGTCTTCAAGATAATTACTTATATTTTACTGGAATTTTTATTTAGTAAATTTGACAAAAGGAGATGCCCATCACGTTTGGAAAACTAGAAATCGAAGTGAACTGAAAATTTCAATAATAAATTTACGATTATGATATTATTCGATCAGCTTTCATTCAATACAATAAAAGTTGCAGTTTATGAATAGATCAATAAGAGATGCTTTATATACGTAGTAAATTAGTTTTCGTAATTTTATATTATGAGTAAACTATTTCTAGTTAAAAGGAAAGTTTTCTGCTTTTTGAAATAGAATTTTATATTCTCGCTTGCCAGATTGTGCTCTCGTTATTATATTTTGTCAAACTCTCAATCTGTAGCTCCATGGTTTAAAAAATTAATAAAAAACATTTTATTTCAAATAAGTAGACGTAAAAATGTTGTATCTTAAAAATAGAAATAAATAAATAAATACACTAAATTTTGCATAGTATGACAATCTGATGCTGTAATCTTATTAAAAGTTAAAATTAAAGAGTATGTTTAAAATAGTATAAATATCTCAAAAGATGCAATATGTTCAGTTAAAACTTTGTATAACTAAAAAAAAATTAATAAAATTATATCAAATATCAATCGATAGACCAAACACCTTGTATCTGTTATTAATAATAAAAATGCTACAATAAAGTACGATTTTTTATTTTTTTAAAAATAATCAAACTTTTTGTTTAGTTACATTTTTGCGTTGATTATTAAGATTTCTTAAAAAAAAATTAAATGTCATCTTACGTATCTTGTATAGCTCAATTTTATTTTATTTATCTTTTTCCTCATTTTTTATAATTCTTCATTAGACAAATGAGTAATTTAGTTAAAGTTCGTTAGAAATAAGAGTTAATTTCTATATAGGGATATATATGGGAATAAACATCAAGATATAAACACTTATTTAGTACATTTAGTGATTATTGCAAACTTATAAACACGTAAAGCTGAGCCAGAAGGTTTCACACTTAATTTGCAAAAGGAATATACAATATAGCTTAAAATTTCTCTTCCAAATTATTTTACAGATGTTTTACTTTTTTTTCTTTGTATATTTTTATTAAACATATAATTAAAAAAAGTAATTTGTTTATAACTATTGAAGAATTTTTTGACTAAATTCTTTTTAGAAATAAATTAACATATTTTGTTTAAAGGCTGCCACATAATGGCAAAACGTTTTTTCATTCAATGAAGTTTTTAAATGATTAAATGTATAAAAGAAACATTGTTTAGCACAAATCGTATAGATATTTTTGATATTTCATTTATAGATTTCTATTCTTGTCTGTGAGACAAAGAAAAAAATCGGAAAGCCCAAAAAGTGGCATACAAAAACACCCTCAATTATTTGTAAAGAATTAATTTGACACAAATAACTGGATAATATGTATGAAACGCATTTCCCGCCAATTACAACACTTTAGTGTCCTGCTGCTGCGTAATTCCCTTTTGAGCAAGTAGTTTATGGTCTTGTTTAATTAATAAAATATTTTTTATGAAAGGGAAAACAACTGGTTGCATTTTTATTGATTATGCAATTATATGAAGAGTATTCTTATCTAAATAAAGTTCCTAAGAATATTTTTTTTTCACTTGCTTTAGAAAAAATGAAGCAGATTAATTTGCATTGAGTTTAATACTGAAAGGTGGGATTCTTGGTTACATATATATACACATGGGTTTTATTTTCAAAATTTGGATTAAAGCATAAAATAACATAAAAAAATGAATGCTTAATAATTATAACATAGTTTTTTTTTTTAATATTTTAATGCTTTTCTGTAGGCAATTTTCGTAACTTTCAGACACCCATAGGTCATAGTAAATAAATTTAAAAATTTGCGATCGTAATAAATCACTAAGAAATCTTTATCATCCTGAGGTCATGTTGCGGTAATGAGTGATTAATGTCTTTATTGTTATAATTTGTTACTGATTTAGACAAGAAGCAGAAATCAGAATTGCTGTATGTAAATTGCAATTTGAAAATTTCTGTTATTGTTGATACTTTTTCAAGTGGGGTACCCTAAATCGAAAGATTTTAAACAGTGATGTCGCCACACTAAAGTGATAAAACAGATGATTCACTTTTATATGTCTTGTGGAATAACAATTGAGATTGTTATCGGTTAAACAAGTGCATCCAATGACAAATAATTCAATCCCTCAAGGCCCAATTTTTAATAAAAACGACCATCATAATGATTATAAACATTTAATTTAAATAAGTGGTAATTAGTCGAGATGCGGAAGATAAATCACTAAGCCTTCACTTTGCTAACAGTTGCAGAATAGAATAACTTCCCACGACGATAATTATTTTACTACTGTTGGACTATAACAGCATTGTGATAATTTTTCTGTCCTCTTGGCTAATTTGTAGTTTAATAAAAGAAATTTTCATAAAAAATTCAAAATAATTGCGTGTTGCAATCACTTGAATTAAAAATTTGTTCCATTCAACACTTCATTTTTGTTATGTATTAAATATACAACATATCGGATAAGATACCGTTATTTTTATTAAAATGATAATGCATACATCTGTTATTGGTCCAACTTATTGGATTTAGCTTAACAAGAAGAAAAAAAAACTGTTTTTAGTTTAAAAATTGTGTAAACATCAACTGGTATTCGTATGTTCATAACACTGCAAAATAGAATGGTATACTATGTGCGAAAATATTTGCACATTTAGGGAATTTTGTTTTCTAACTTTTGGCACCTTTGGCCCACAGACGCCTGCGCAAACACTCAGAAGAATCAGAGAAACGTGTTTTTGTTATTATTATGTTGAAATGTGTTTTGAGTGTGAACGTAAAAAGGGTTGGAGTAAGAAAAATCTATTGTGTTAAAAATTTTCGACTATTTATTGATTTCCAGAGCCGTTTCTTCCCAGAGGTTTCGGGAAGCGGGAAAAGAATCCCAGACCACGGTTTACCAATTTGGGAGTAATTATGAGGGGATTAGAAGACAGGACTAGTGAATACGAGGCAAATGTCGAGTTTATTAAGGACTTGGGAATTGCAATAGAGCCCTTAAATCGGCAATGTTTCAATCCTTTTATATCGCCTGATGAGATCAAGGAGTGCCGACAACCCCAAATTGATACAGTGGTGATTTATCACCGTAAACTATTCAGTCAATTTCGTTTTGGTTCAGCGAAGAGCAAAGTAAGGTTCTTAAAGGAGCTCGAGAAGATAAGGGAAGAACGTGAACCGAAAAAGGAGGGGAAAAGTGGCGATTTTAAAGATAAAACAGACAGGGAAGGAAATGAAGAGAAATGCATTGAAATGAATGAAAAAAAATCCGAAAAAGACGTTGAAATGGATGGAGAAAAAAAATCTCAAAAAGTCCACGAAGTAAAACATGAAAATTCTGAAATCAATAATCCTGCAGTTAATCACTTGGAAGAAAATTCTGAAAAAATCCATGAATTAAATCTTGGAAAAATCCATGAATTAAATGTTGGAAAAATCCATGAATTAAATGTTGGAATCAATAATTCTGACAAAGTCCACGAAATATATCCTGAACAAGACGTTGAGATGAATGAAAAAAATTCTGAAGATGTTGATGCAATAAATCTTAAAGACATTGAAATGACGGAAATTTTTTTTGAAAAATACGATGGAACAAATTTCGGAAATACTTTTATCAATCCTGAAAAAGTCGTTCAAAGCAATAATCCTGAGAATATTCACAAAACCAATTTGACTTGAATGAGATAAAAGATTTTGAGTGCAGTATGTGACCATAGGTTATTTCCTTTCTCAAAATTTGTAATATACAATCCATTATTTAGTTCCTTCTTGTATAAATTAGATGTAAGTTACTGAATAGTGTTTTAATAATATAAATAGTTTTTAAAATATATTTTTAGTAAAGTTTTAACTGCGGTACATTAATGTTGAAATAAAAATCAATTTCATTCAACACTTCATTGATGTAATACATATATTACATATCAGACAGTTATTTTTAACAAAATAATCATGTTTCCATTTCTTTATTATTGGCAATACTGACCACCAAATCTTCATATGTCCATTTAGGAAATACTCTTTTGTACAAATTGAGAAGAACTGTGTCTTGCGATTTCAACTGCCCATCAAAGATACACTTTATGTGTCCATGTGTGCCTAAAATAATCACAAAACATTAATAATTAAAAAATTTAGGCAAGGTTTACCCAAAGGTTCTTTGATATGTCCTACACGCCCCATTTTTGTCCTCAATTTACAAGGCTTGAAATAGATAATATCTTCACGATTGAAGAACAAAAACCTTATAACCGCAGATCTTTTATAAATTTTAAATGGGTGTCCTGACAAAACAATTCTTTTCAAAATAATTCTGTCAGGATTACACGACAGCAAGCTTCCCGTCGCGACCAAAACCAACTTGCCATTTTCTTCTTTATAGCAAAGAACTGGGGAGGGAGGGAATTGTATTCTGCCATAAAAAGTGGCAACAACTGTTGATTCAGGTTGAAAATATCTTTCAAACTTGTGTTTTTGGCCATTTGTATGTTGGCTGAATATGGGATTTGTGACAAATTTCCTGTAGCCACATTGGAAAATCAAGCGCTCTTTTGATTTGATTGGAAGACAGTAATTTGGGGTTCGTTTTAAAACAACGTTAATAACCGACATTTTGTATTCATGGGGTAGCAACCCAAACAGCACCAAAGGAGCGTCAATTTTTATAAAATTTGACCATAAGAGCTGTGAAACGTTCTTTATATGCACAGTAATGTACCATCCAGGCTGGAAAATAACCCATAAACTATCTATAGATTTAAAAAAAGTTATACTCACTTTAGCACCATCTATGTCTTCCAATTCTTTCAACACTCGCTTTTTCGTTCTATCAAAATTCTCAAATTGGAATATTCTTGCATAATCACTTGGTAAATTCTCCTTAGGGTCCCAAGGTGATGTTCGGAAGCTTTCAAGTCCCCTATATTTCTGAAACCTAACTCTCGCAGGCTGATCAAGAGGTGTGTCTACTTCATCAGGAAACATCTTATCAGTTCTTGCAGCTTTCAATTTTTCCAATTCCTGTCTTTCTGCTAGAAAATCCATTTCTTGGTCATACTTCTCATCATTTGGGGCAAGCTCTGATTCTGTTACAGTGTCAAACTCTTGTTCTTCTTGATCGGAATTTTCCGATTTTTCTTCAGACATTGCGTCCATATATTGGTCTGATTCTTCATCTGAAGAGCCATTATCTTCTAGAAATTCAGCGTCATCGTCTGGAATCCAAGCTGCTTGATAATCCGACCATCCTTTAGGGACTTTTTTCACTTTCTTCGCCTACAAAAAATGTGAAATTTTTATAACTTAGTCATTGAAAGAAAAACCTTGTTTTCTTGCTCTGCCATGTCAATTTCTTCACTGGTGGGCCAAGTTTGTTCCGCATCCATTGGATCTGGAACATTTTCGGCATCCAATGACTCTTGTTTAACTGGGTCAGCTCTATCCAAAACTCTAGTATCATTCTTTTCAAGTGAATCCATTCCTGTTGCATTTTTATTTCTGAAAAATAAGTTAATGTATGCAACCAACGAAACACGTGAAACGCGCAGTTTGCATAACACGTTGCTTTAAACTTACTTATTCTTTTCAATAGCGTAAAGATCAAAGGGAGCATCTATTTGAGTCATTTGAAAATCACCAATTCCAGGCAAATGCACCAAACTATTTACCGATAAAGCTGCTCCACGCAAATAACCGGTTACTTTCAAAGTTCCATAAGGCCCTAAAATAACCATTTTGTAAAATAAAATTACCAAAATATAGGATAATTTCACCTGTTTCATCAGCTGTGTACTCGTAATCCTCTGCATAAATGTGTGGCCTTCTATCTCTGTATAAAACACTTCTTCTTTTTTGATTACCAATTTTTCTTAATAAATTAATTCCATCTGATTCATTTTCCAGTGTTACCAGTTTTTCATCAGGAAACCACTTTGTAATTAATTTTTGAGCTTGTTGTTTATAATCGTGACGCTTTTTTTGTACCAGAGTATTTAAGTCACTTAACACAACAACAGGAGTTGGTAAGCCCTGCGGTTTTTTTTAGTTAAAAAGTTAAGCTATTTAATGATTGAGACAAAACCTGTGCAAATGATGACATTAAAATATTTTGTCCTGATTTATCAATTAAATTCTCTTCTTCAACCCCTCCTGCAGCTGACATTAAAAACACAACTGTATCACATATTTTAAGAGCGTCCAAAACTCCTAATTCATTGTCACTTGAGGGAGCAATAAATGAGAATTTTTGTTTAAATCTTGGAGTACTAAAAATGTGAAATTTCTAGTAATTAAGTTTTGTAGATAAAAAGTGTTCAAACCAAATGTGAGTGACTCCAGTTGGACTTTTACTAATTATAGCCTCAGAGTCGCATTTGGTTAAATACTCGACTACTTCTTTAGGATCCCCTAGTTTATTTAGGGGCACCACAGCGACTAAAAAGGGGGCATATTCAAGCCCTCCCAATGACCTCTTCTTGTTCAACACCTCGTTTCTTTTATTCTGACGTATCTGTAAAGCTTGGTGACGCCTTTCGTCGCGATTTAAGTCCCGCTTAATCTTCTTAGACAACGTTTTTACCGAAATTTTGCCTATTTAACCGAAAAAATAAACAATTGTTCACCTAACCTTAAAACTTGCCTTTCGCATCGCTGCTGATTGAGCCCTTGGAGCGGTGTCGCCCATGTTTGTGTGCCTTGTTTGTCTGTTTAAAAAGGCCAGGACGGTGGGACTGCACCTTATCAACCCCCATTTTCAATAATCTGAAATATTTTACACAACACGTGCTAAATAATCACATTTGACAAACAAAGTGTCAATAATTCTGCTGCCAATCCACTAATTTAAATGCACTAATTGTGAACCAATTGTAATCAAGATGTGTAAGAATTTTTAGTCGATTTAGTTGGCTAAGCTGTTACCGCACTTGCGCAGTTGTGATTTCAAACATGTGTTTATTAAAAGAGGTTAGAATCGTTCCGTCATGTGGTGCCGTGTTGGTTTGATGTTTTTGTGAGTTTTTGAGTGGCAAAGAAATGTTGTTAAACTGATAAAATGGACGTGACGCGTGAAGATGAGTTGTTGTTGCAGAAGCTGAAAAGTTTTTGTGAAATCAACGAACAGTTTTGCATTGCTTTTAAGGTAACATGTGCGGACTGCTTTGACAAGGTAGAAGTTGAAATTTTATTTATTTTTCACAGCATACGGAAAAGAATACTAATTTAAATCGACGCCAGAAAAATGATCTACATTTACATTACATAGCTCAACATATTATAACACTTCCAACTTATTTTCAAAGTGTAGTTACCCATTTTTCCGAATTTCTTCCTAAAATCGTGTCTGTTGCAATTGGTTATGATAAGGGTGTTAAAAATATTGGACACCATAAGGTTAATTGCGTGTTGTTGGGAAGGATTATCAGAGTTAGAAATGATTTGCATTGGTATTTAATTTATTCCACTCAACGTTTTTTTTTAAATTTTTTGTGATTATAGGTATGCAACAAAGTATTTTGAGTCAAGTCCTTCACCATTTGTGGATGAGGCTCATCCTGTTTCAAAGAAGAGCAAAATGTCTCAAAATATACCAATTTCTGAGTTAGATTTAGTTGAATCTTGTTACGCTTTATTACGAAGTAATCCTCAATTTTATGTAAAAAAGTGGAATTGGTCTGAATTTACCACCAAATATTTGGATCATGAAATTCCAGAAATACAATGGATTGCGTGTCACTGTGTTTCTGTTGTTACCCACATGAGCGAAAATCAGCTCAAAGATTTGATTTTATCAAAATTATCACCTGAGACTCACGAGAAATTTCTTTGCACTTACAATAATTTACTTACTTTGAGTAAACTAGAGTCAGTAAGTTTGGGTTTAGACCAACACCCTGTTGTCAGTATTGGTGCTAAAGAAATAGAAGAAGTCGTGGAAATTTCTGGTGTCTACATTCCAAAATTTAAATCATCAATAACCCCTCATCAAAATTTAGTTATGGTTAATTCAACTAGTAATAATTTGAGAAAAGTTGCATTTGGTTTATCTTCAAAGAAAGCCATTTGTTTACAAGGCCCGGTTGGGTCTGGCAAAACTAGTTTAGTCGAATATATAGCGGATAAAACTGGCAGAAAACTGGGAGAAAATTTTATTAAAGTTCAGTTAGGTGATCAAACTGATAGTAAAATGCTATTGGGGACGTATAGATGTACTGATATCCCTGGGGAGTTTGTATGGCAGCCGGGAGTTGTTACACAGGTGAATTTGGATGTTTCACATTTCGTACGATTTTGTGTGTGCTTTTTTCTATAGGCGGTGATTGAAGGAAATTGGGTATTACTCGAAGACATTGATTCAGCAAGTATGGATATAGCCTCAGTTTTGTCAAGTTTGCTGGAAAATGGGAGTCTCACGGTTCCAGGTTATCGCGATTCTTTGCCGATAACGCCGGGATTTCAGCTATTTTTCACTCAAAGGTAAGCATCTTCTTATAATACGAGTATATGAAGTAAAAATGAAAAAAAAAACAAACAAAAAAAAACTACAAAATCCAAGATACTGGTATGAAGGTTGTAATGACTGGTAAATGTTTAAAATTTGATAAATTTAATAAATAACTGACAGGTGTTGATGTTAGTACTTCAGAAGTTAATGAAATTTTTACAACACTCTTGATATGCGTAGTTTGCGTATTTCACAAAAATTATAAATTGTTATCTAATACATGAGTCTGACAAGAACTATGTGAGAATAAATGTATTTTTAAATGCTACGTTGTATTACCTACCTAATTACAATTCTCGGGTGATTTATTTTAGAATAATCGTTTTGAAATAGTTTGGTGTTACACCTTGATGACAGTTCTATGATTCTGAGAACAAATTTTGGGAACTAGAAAAACTAAAAATTGTATTTTTATATTAAAAAAATTGTACTTTTTTCAACCGTTTTCAGTTGAGAAAATTGTCGAATCTTTAACTGTGGAGAAAATTGAAAAGTGAGGAGAAAATATTTAAAATTTTCTTCACGACTGTAGACCAAATTAAATATTAATAATAAAAAGAAGAAAAAATGTAAAAAAACATTACATAGTCATTTAGGATTAAAAGAATTAGTGACTATTTCTATTCAGATGAATTGCTCCACTCGCTTTCGGCTCGTAATGTGAATTTTATCTTCGTCGTGGAAATGGCCAACTTGTTGAATAATACCGGGTGCGGTATCCGTTACGCCCAAAAAGAAAATCCCCACTTCTAATTAAATAAAATTGTTGAATTTTTTCACACTTACCTGAGCATTAGGAAGGTACATTCTCTAATTTTTTGGTAATTTTTCATTCACAAACAAAGCCAAAAGAAATAAAAAGTAATTTTCTCCCAAAAAGTTTAATTCTAATTTTTATACTGACCTACGCAGATTCACTTCCTACAATTGTTTACAAAATCAGATATCAATACCAATTAGATTTTGAATTAAACACAATTTTCCCTTTTAACTTTGAAAATCATTTTTATTTATGACCTGCTACTTGTGCCATCGTAAATTTAGGTGATTAAATGATTCTTTTGTTGAGAAATTATACCATTTTGTCATAAATCACGGGTATGGTTTGTGTTTAAATAAAAAAAAAACATGTACCGATTCATTTAGTGTAAAAACTTTATAGGTAAATTAACAGAAAGTATTCATAAAATACACAAAACTGTTACTGTTATCAAAAAAATAGAAAAATTCTCATATTATACCCTATCAATAATTAGTTCAATGGGCGTAACCAATGCCGCACCCGGTATACTATTTTAAACTTAATTGTTTTTTTTATAAAAAAAAACTCTTACAAAAATTTGGAAGTACCTATGGCTATCGTTAAGATGGCAGGTAACAAGGGTTTTTTGAATGAATAAAAATATGGGGGCAGGGTGAACTGCGCTCAGTTTTAGAAACAGGTATAATGAGGCTAATAAGGGTCGCTAATCCTTAAGGTGAACTGCGCTCAGTAGCATCATACCGCAACGGGGTACCCACCCATGGGTTGGTGCTTCGAACTTTTAGGGAGCACTTCTTAGGGTGCACTTTTTAATGACCTAATGCCGCCGGCACTTGACATTATTCTCTGATATGCGAGTTCTGAAATATTCTGTATTAAAAGGTATGTTTTAATTCTAAAAAAATATTGAAAGAGAAGCAAATAGATTGTGAAATGTCTATCTTATAAGTTTGACCAATTTTTTTAAAACACTGTTATGTAATGTACACCTAAACATATTTGTGTTCAGTAAATGTAAATATTAACCTATTTCGTTTTTGTATATTTCGAAATGCAAAGAATTTCAACCGGTTAATCCCTATTTTCATCAGCCTGGGAATTTAATTTTTAGTAATTTAATTCTTTACATCACGCTGAGACATATCGACCGATCTGAGCGCAGTTCACATAGGGATTAACGCAACGCAGGTAAGTAAAAATTTTCTGAGCGCAGTCCACTGTAGGGATTAAAATGCCGTGCTTGAAGTGAGCGCAATTCAAGGGCACCCAAAATATCGATTTTAATAAAACAGTAAATAGGTCTATGTTTGTGCAAATAAAGTGCAAATAATGGTATTTTTATTTGCATTTATTTTATAATATGTTTATAAATTATTGTTTGCAATTCAAATATTGGTTTGCAATAAAATTTTTTGCTGTTATTAATGTTATCTATCAAAATTGAAATAATAAGTGCCACTTATGGTTTGATTATGATTTTGGATTTGTTGCATTAATCAGTCAAAACATTTTCCCAAGAGACCGCCAAAGTAAAAGGCGGTTTGGGATTTAATAACATCTATCGACATCATGATAATTCATGCATATTCAAATCCAAATATTGCTAAGTCATGTGATATGATTGTAGTTTGCAAAATTAACAAAGTTATAAAACTGAACACAGATTAAATTTAATTAAAAACGAATTCTTGACGAATTTGGAGCTATATTAGAGAAATGTTTTAATGAAAAGTCACAAAATCGCCCATTTATTATTATCAGATTATATGACAGTGATATACAACACTTTGCAACATCCTGAAACTGAAATGGGACACTTGACGAGTTTCCCTAACTTAGCACCAAGAGATTCCAACTTACTTCATTATCACCCATATTTATGATCAAACATTTTACTCTTGTCAGGCCTTGAGGTCAAAATGCGCAACAAAGTTAGCCTGCAAGGTATACAAACTTACAGTAGTAATTACATTTTCCATCAAAAGCAGCAATTTAACCAAAATAATTTATTCCAGACTAATGTCTACAATAACCGGCCACCACAAAAAACTTTCAAACGCAATGACTTTACTTGAGAAACACTTACTTCAAATAAATATTGATCCGTTGACTTCGGCCGAACTTAAAGACATTCTAGTATCACAACACCCACAATTTGCCACGGTTGCAGACCGAATGATAAAAGTTTTTAATTTATTCACGAAAAACACTGACTTACCTAAAACAAGTCGCTTGATTTCGACTCGTGATTTCTTCAAATGGTGCTCAAGAGCCGCCATCGACTTTGATATAAGTAGTCAAAACAGTGCTTTAAAAGTGTTGCAAGATGCCATTGATGTGTTCTGTTGCTCGTTTTCCAAAACAGAAGAAGCCCTGAATTTGGCGAGAGAAATTAGTACTCATTTAGGGATTATCAATCAGAAAGCTGAGTTTTTCTTCAAAAGTTACAAACCGGTAATGAAGTTAACTGCAAGTAATTTGGAAGTCGGGCGTGGTATTATTGCACGAGACAACGATGTTTTGTCTTTGCGACAATCTTATTATTTCACTCGCCCTGCGACTGTTCTTCTAGAACGTGTATTGTGCTGTGTTAATCTGCAAGAACCGATACTTCTCGTCGGTGAAACCGGAACCGGGAAAACGTCAACGGTTCAATATTTGGCGAACGCAATCGGCCAAAAACTTGTCGTTATTAACATGAACCAACAGTCGGATTCTGCTGATTTACTCGGGGGTTACAAACCGGTCGATTTGAAGTTTGTGATTTCCCCAATTCGTAAGGAATTCGAGTTAGTGTTTTCCGAGTATTTTCAAGTCGAGCCAAACCGGACTTTTATCGGCCACATCGCTCGTTGTTACAATGAGCAAAGATGGTCAGATCTCGTTAAATTAATGACAAAAAGTTACGATGCTGCAATTTCGCGTCTGAGCCAGCCGTCGGCCCCCAAGCAACACCTTTTTCCGAGGTGGCAATCCATCGGTGAAAAGTTACACAAACTAAGTTTGCAACTGAAACAGAAAAGCGCTCTGGCTTTCGCTTTCATCGAGGGCAGTTTGGTGAAAGCTGTCGAAGAAGGTCATTGGGTTCTGCTGGATGAAATTAATTTAGCTAATGCGGAGACTTTGGAATGTTTGTCGGGGCTTTTGGAGGGCTCGCGAGGGTCGCTGTGTTTGCTAGAAAGGGGTGATAAAGAGCCGGTGAGGAGACACCCGAATTTCACGCTATTTGCGTGTATGAACCCCTCGACGGACGTGGGGAAGAAGGACCTTCCGGCGGGGCTGCGGAACCGCTTTACTGAGTTTTACGTCGATGAGTTGACCGAAAAAAATGATTTGCTTTTACTGGTTGGGAGCTATTTGGACGCTTTGTCTTTGAAGGAGGGCGAGCTGGAGAAAATCGTTGATTTTTATTTGAGAGTTCGGAAGGAGACTGAGATTAGTTTGACGGATGGGTTGGGGCACAAACCGCATTTCTCACTGAGGTCGCTGTGTCGGGCATTGATGATTACAGCGAGGAACCCGTGTGGAATGGTCAAGAAGAGTCTTTATGAGGCTTTTTGTTTGAGTTTTTTGACACAGTTGGATTCTCAGTCGTATGGTATTGTTGAAAATCTGATTGCGAAGTAATTGGATAATGGATTTGTGGAGACAAATTTGAAAATATAAATGTTTTAGATATTTAGTAGGTGATGATAAGGCTTTGAAGTCAGTTTTAAAACAACCAATTCCTACACCTAAAACCAATTCTGATGATTATATTCAATTCGAGGGTTACTGGGTTCGAAAGGGGAATTTAGAATGTGTGGTTCCTGATGATTATATTTTGACCGATTCGGTGCGAAAAAATCTTAAGGATTTAGTAAGAATTGTGTCGATTGGAGGATTGCCAGTTTTACTCCAGGTAAGCACAGTTTATTGTTTTCTCAAAAATTATCTTTATAATACAATTATTTGTCTATTTATTTATGACAAGTAAGTGAATTGTTTTTGTTTTTATTTTTTTTAATCAATAATTATATGGTTTCAAGAAAGTCTGAATTTATTAATTAAAATAAGAACTGAAATAAATAGGACAAAATGAAATTAGGTAATTGTGTAATACATTATGTAATGTAATGTATATTATTTACTTGTGTTAGAACGCTTACATAGTACACACATCAAACACAAAAAAATATTAAAATGAAGTTAAGAATAAAATATTTAAATAAAAATACCTGAAAATTTGTTCAATAAACAATAAATTAAAAATTAAGTACAAAATAAGACATTAATCAAAGCTATAACTTAGAATATTTGACCCGGCGCATTCACCATTTTTAACAGAGTAGAAATATTATTACTATGTAAGTTTTTAGAGGAAGAGGAAACATTTTATTACTAATTAGTGTTAATATTAGTATAATACTCAATAGGTGTAGGCTACTTAACATAAATGTTGGAGCGGTTTAAAAATATTTTGTAGTTACGTAGAAATTTATATATTATAAAGTACTACAACAAATGGATTTTTCAGGAAATGAATGAATAGAAAAAAATTAAAATAGATAATTGCATACTAAATATGGTAATACATTTTACAAGACTTAATGATAAAAGAGTTTAAAATCAGAAAGTCAAACTTCTTTACTTAAATATGTATTTGTTGTATTTTGTCGAATGAAACACATTTTGTTAACTTTGCTGTTGTAATGTTTATTTGTGTCGTTCGGACAATTTAAAATTCTTATTGTAATGTGAAATTTGCTTGTAATTGTGGGTTTGATGTTATTATTTGCGATGTAAACCTGTGTAGCACGACCCAATTCGCCCCCATGTTCATCATAATAACAACAAATCCCTCCAAATTGATATTTCCTGAAGAAAAAAACGGCCGTTGTCGAAACGGTGCCCCATAATAAAACAGTATATTGATCTAATTCGTTCTTTCATTCCACGAACGAAATACAACAAATACATAATTAACCTTCAAGCACACTAAATCAAACCTCAACTTTTTACTTAAAGTTTTTTAACTTTTTTTTTAAATATAGTCAGATTATATTTGCATTAAACATTTTCTTTAGGGAATAGAAAAAGTTTATATAAAAAAGTGAACATTATTTTGCTTTATTTTATTTTTTGTATGTTTGAAGTAAGGCCTAATTTAATCATAATTTTCTTTAAAGGAGCTTTAAATTAAATGTTGTTTAATACTGATTACCACAGACTCGACAAAAATTTCATATTATAAAGCAATATTTAATTTGATTTTGAAACTGGCCGTGAAACTTTGAGTTTGGATTTTAAGTCCAATTGTGTCACCAAAAATGTTAAAACTAATAAACCAAGAACTAAGTAGGGAAAGAAATCAAATAATTGTGTAATAAATAAAATGTAAATACGAGTTTAGTTTACATCCTTCTTTTTTTCTATATTCTATGTTTTTCTCATAAAACTTTTATTTCATGGCAGAAAGCCGGAATCGTTTTGTATTAGGGCAGTAATAGACTAGCGTAAAACACGCGGCGTGTCACCCGCCCCGCTTAGGCTGCCTCTGCATACACAGTAGCGTTTTTTTCTGCGATACTGAGTGCACCCTGTTCTCAGCAGCAGACTTACAACAAAATATTTTCATTTGAATTTCTCAAATCATAGAAAAAAACGCTGCTAGTGTATTCAAACTCGTAAGAAGCAATGTATTGCATTGCCAACGTTTTTCGCAGATGGCCCGCTGGCACGCAATCGTCGGCGTTTAGCAAGCGGTTTTAAACGTGTTAAACGCTAGTGTAGTCACTCCCATTTGAATTCCTTGTTTCCATTTCAGCGGGAAAAACGTCGCGTGTAACCCGCCGCGTGTTTTACGCTAGTCTATTACCGCCCTTATGGTTTCGGGTACAACTAAACAATTTATAATTTTACAATTAAATAATTTATAAGTCGAAAACAATTTGTATAAGCTCGTTTCTCGATTAATTTTACATATTGTATCACTTTTTGATAAGGTAAAAAATATTTTGTTTTTTATTACAACCGCATATGTATATTATAGTGTTTATGCATAACTGATAGTTCTATTCCAATATTTATTATTTAATATCTCAAAAACTATTGTTTTTTCAAGTTTTTCTAAAATTCAAATTGAAATTATAATTACAAAACCTACCAGTATAATTAGTAAAAAGTTAATGAATCAAACTTTCTTATAGTACTATTTTTTCACGTGGTATTAATAATTTTTAGTAAAATTTAGGTTTTAACCCGGCGCATCCACCCTTCTAGACTTCTACTTATAAAGTATGAAATATTTGCATTCATTATTTTTGTAATGGTAGAAAAAGAATGCTATTATTTTTTTGATTTTATTATTAAATAGGCGTAGATTATTTTAACATAAACTGCAGCAGTTAAAGTAAATTTTGCAGTTACCTACATTTTTGAGAGAGCAATACAGTAAATGGAATTCGGTTTAATAATAGATTAAGGACTGCGACTTCGGGTTCAATATCGACTCTTTTCTTTACATTACTTTTTCAAAGGGCGACACTTCTGTCGGAAAAACCAGTCTGATAGCCTACTTGGCCAAATCAAGCGGAAACAAATGCGTCCGAATCAACAACCACGAACACACCGATCTGCAAGAATACATCGGCTCATACGTCGCCGACTGTGAAGGCAAACTAGTCTTCCGTGAAGGCCTTCTAGTCGAAGCAATGCGTAAAGGCCATTGGATCATCCTCGACGAGCTAAACCTGGCACCTAGTGACGTCCTCGAAGCCTTGAACCGCGTCCTTGACGACAATCGCGAATTATTCATTCCAGAGACACAAGAAACCGTCAAAGCCGACCCGAATTTTATGCTTTTTGCAACACAAAATCCTCCAGGTTCGTATGGAGGACGCAAAATGCTATCGAGAGCTTTCAGGAATCGATTCGTTGAACTACATTTCAATGAAATTCCGCCAAAGGAGTTGGAGTTTATTTTGCATAGGAGGTGTCAAATGGCACCGTCGTATGCCAAGAAGATGATTAATGTGATGACGGATCTACAGGTTTTAGCGTTTTTGGTTATTTTGAATTTTGCGAATTGCGAGTTTTAGACGAGGAGACGAGGTTCTGCTGCGTTTGCGGGAAAACAGGGTTTTATAACGTTGAGGGATTTGTTCAGATGGGGCGAAAGGTATCGTCTGGCACAAAACACGCAAAAATTGTATGATTGGGACCAACATTTGGCCGATGAAGGGTATCTAGTTCTGGCAGGAAGGGTCAGGAAAAGTGAAGAAAAAAATGAGATTATCACAGTTTTGCAAAAACACTTAAAACGGGAAGTTAATCCCTACAATTTATTTAGTCGTAAGTGTAAATTAGTACATTATTATTATTACTTTATTAATTTTGAAGTGTCGGAAAAAACATCAATTGTGACTAAAAGTATTTTAACGAAAATTTACGAAAATCGAGACAAATATAGAAATATTGTGTGGACTTATAATATGAGACAATTGGCCGTTTTGGTAGCTAAAGCTTTCCATTTTAAAGAACCAGTTCTCTTAGTGGGTGAAACCGGTGGTGGTAAAACAACAGTTTGTAAATTAATTGCTGAATTGAATCAACAAGAATTAATTTCGGTTAATTGTCACATGCATACCGAGAGTAGCGATTTTATTGGTGGATTAAGACCGGTCAGGGATCACATGGTACGTTTTTTACTCTCTTAGTTATTTTTTTTAATTCCATTTTTAAGGATGATGATGTTAACAAATTATTTGAGTGGGTCGATGGTCCTTTAATTAAAGCAATGTTAAAAGGCAACGTTTTCCTCGCCGACGAAATTTCACTCGCTGATGATAGTGTGTTAGAACGTCTTAACTCTCTTTTAGGTGGGTTTAATTATTTTCACATATGGTCTAGAAAATAATTAATTTTTTATCCGATTAGAACCCGAAAGAACCTTACTAATAGCTGAAAAAGGAGCTGATATAAATAATCCAAACAACTCGGAATTAATTGTTGCTGATCCTAACTTTTATTTTATTGGGACAATGAATCCTGGTGGTGATTTTGGTAAGAAAGAATTGTCACCAGCTTTGCGAAATCGGTTTACGGAGATCTGGTGTGAATCGTGTACTGATCGCAATGATTTGGTCGCGATAATTGAACAAAATGTCAAGGAGGGAATTTCTTTTGGGAATCAACAGGATGGATCGAGTGGTATCGGAAAAAATGTTATGGATTTTGTGGAGTGGTTTCGGAATACGGAAATTGGGAAAAGGTAAGTCGTTTCATTTTTTTTAATTACCCTTTTCTTTTCGTTACTTTTAATAGATGCACAGTCAGTATTCGCGATATTTTAACTTGGGTAAACTTTATCAACAACTGTGCTGAAAAAATTGGTGTTTACGAGTCATACCTTCACGGTTTACATTTGACATTTTTGGACGGCTTAGGCTCTGGAATAACAGGAACCGAAAAGTAGGTTTTTCACTCGCCACAATCTTAAATAAATTCTCCCATTTTAGTTTAAACAGTTTGAAAAAATTCAAACGATCTTGCGAATTATACATTAAAAAACAATTAAGTTCCTCAAGCCTCCCTGACATATCCTCAGCAAACTTACTTATCGAAGAATCGGGAAATTTATTCGGAATTAAACCCTTCTACATCGAAACGGGTAATGAAACTCGCGAAAACCACTCCTTCTCATTCAACGCTCCAACAACGACATATAACACTTTAAGATTATTGAGAGGAATGCAATTGAACAAAGCGATTTTACTGGAAGGCAGTCCCGGAGTAGGCAAAACTAGTCTCGTGACTGCTTTAGCAAAACTAGCCCGTCATAAAATTTTCCGGGTGAATTTATCCGACCAAACCGACATTTCTGACTTATTCGGAGCTGATTTACCGGTTGAGGGGGGCACAGGGGGGCAGTTTTCATGGCGTGATGGCCCTCTTCTCCAGGCCTTGAAACAGGGTCACTGGATTTTACTCGACGAGTTAAATTTGGCCTCGCAGTCGGTTTTGGAGGGACTAAACGCCTGTTTGGATCATCGGGGCGAGATTTTTATTCCCGAGTTGGGCAAAACTTTTTACGTCAAGCCGGGGACGCGTTTTTTCGCCTGTCAAAACCCTCTCAAGCAGGGGGGTAGTCGGCGAGGCTTGCCTCAATCGTTCCTCAACCGGTTTATCCAAGTTTATGTTACTTCACTCACCGATAAAGATCTCAATTTAATATTGAGTAACCAATTCCCGGGGATTCCTCGTGAAATAATCGACAAGATGTTGAAATTCAACTCCAGGGTTCACGATGAGTTAGATAGCCACAGTTTCGGGAATAAAGGCTCGCCATGGGAGTTTAACTTACGCGATTTGACTCGGTGGTGCGAAGCCATGATTTATCACTTCGAAGTTAACCCAAGTGTCGATAAGAAATATCAACCGGAGAGTTTGGTGCACTTAATTTACGGTGACCGGATGAGAACTTTGAGGGATAAGAGGAAAGTGAGTGAGATGTTTAAGGAGGTGTTCGGACGCGGAATTTCCGGTGATGCTCCTGTTTTGTATATAAATAATGAAGAAGTCTGGATAGGGGATGCGGGATTGAGGAGGAATAAAGATAGGATCGACGTGAATGTGATCAGTGAGGAGAAGAGTTGTTTGGTGCTGAGGTCGCAATTGCCCGTTTTGAGGAGCTTGGCGTATTGTGTTAATCTGAATTGGATGAGCTTATTGGTAAGTAAATAATTTGTTTGATGCATGTAAATGGTGGTTACCTATTGGTTAAGTATAAAGTTAATTAAAAAAATTAATTAGAAATTATTTATTAATTGAAATGTCAAATACCTCGGATTAAATATAACATTAGAAAAAAACGGAATCGAATTTTTAAGTTTTACTTTTAATTTCGAAAGACTATAGAAGGGACAGAACTGAAAAAATAAATTTTAAATATCAGGTCTCAAAAATTGTTCCGCCGACAAAGAAGTTGTAGAATGCATGGCCGAGAACAGAGTTTTTGACTTTGTGGCTGTATTTGGGTTAGTTAGGAGGTAAACATACCAAAAGTCACTAATTCTGAGAGATGTTTAGGGTGCAGGGGGCACAAATAAGGTGTCATTTTTGGCTTTTTAGCTTATATTTCTAAATTATTTCTTTATATGCGTGTTAAGAAAAAAATGGTTACGTACAAAATTAAAGCTTATAAAAACGGTGTTTTTGTTTGTGATAAAGAATTGGCTACTTTGCACTATCTGTTAGACTAAAAAAACTAATAATGAATTAACGTAAGAATTGTTGTAAAAGTTATGTCTTCTGATTGGACCGTTTAAGGTCGGCCATTATTTTAATGTGAAAACCAATCACATTAGATTTTTGATTTCATTGAAAAATTTAATGCATTGTTATAATTGGTCCGTTTGAGGTCGGCCATTATAATAATGTGGGTAACCATGGAGAAACCAATCACTTTTGATTTTTGTATTCATTCAAAAATGTTGCAAAATTGGTTCATTCTGATTTCAATTCATTTATAAAAATAAATCCAATTTTTATTGAAAATGTTGTGTGTGCCCTTTTCCCGTGTTTGTGAGCATTGTTAGGTAAAATTTGTACCCTAGGTGCGTTTTTTTGTATTTGATTGGGAAATCAAACCTTCACTTTTAAAACTGAAATAGGTTTTTTACTTTGTTTTTACTTATCTTTTCTGCTTATAAACACAACATGAATTGGCGCCGAGAATACGAAAGTGGAAATTTTCTTTAAATTTGGACATTTTTATGCAAGAAGTGAAACATAACCTCACATTCTTCACTTTTTCGGGATAATGTGCAGTGGAGGTAAGTATGAAAAGACTGTTTTCGTTTTCTGCAAGCTGTAGAGGCCTACCTACAATTTGCAATCTACAACCAACAATCCGTTCCAATCATTGTTTGTTTTACCATGTTACTTTCTACAGTAGGTATAACGAGAAAATGCGATTCGACGGCTTTATTTTAGAATATTAAAAATTTCAAGAAATTATTAAATTGTAGGTTGAAATTTAATGTCTGATACCTTAGGATTTAGAGACAACATAATGGGAATAAAATTGTTTATTTAAAGTGTGGTATTTGCGAGCGAACATCTCGAAATCTATTTGAAATAAAATAAACCCTAAAGGCTCTTTTATAGGAAATTTTATAGCTTTAATTTTGGTTTCAGGATATAAGCGAAAAAGTATAGAATGGCACCTTGGTACCCTTTTGTATATGTTTACCTCGAAACAGTCCAAACTAACCCAAATATAGTCCTGAAATAAAAAACTCTGTACTCGACTCTACAACTCCTTTTTGAGCATTCATTAATTGGAATAGAAATAAGTGCATTAAGCTATTAATTTTAACTACGTGCGAACACAACCAAATGCAACATTTTTTTATGTACCATTTCTTGGAAATCGATATTTTTTGAGACTTTTTGCCCTTTGTATAAAATAACGAGCAGTCACCGTGAATTTGTTAGGAGTTTCTAGCGCGGTATTTTTACTATTTTTACTAGTTTAGTCTGGGCTAGGGAGAGATAAGCGCGTTTTTATTAGCTGGCAAAATACAGGGTGATTTACGACCCCGACGAACTTTAAATGCAACCAGTAATACGTTACTCAATTATAACTTGTTTCAAAAAGACTATTAATTATAAACTTATTTGAGATTTGGACATTCCTCATAAAAATCTAATAACGCCAATCAATAAATAAATGACTACAATGGAGTAACAACACATTTTTATTTTAATAAAGAAACAGTGAAATGTGTGAAATAGTAAAAAAACAGTGAAATAACTCAAAAAACTAAACAATAACTAGAGAACTTAATGCAACAAATTTTCAAACTGATGTCCATTATTTTGTAAACATGCTTGAATGCGCGTCACAAAAGACTTATTTCGTTATCAGGATTCGTTGCAGTCCGTCGTCTATAGCGTTTATGTTTTGGCCAATTTAGGCGTAGTTCAACTTCCAATTATCTAAAAATTTTATCTGTCGGATACCGACGCCGCCGCCCCGCCGGTACAAATTTTCGGCTGCTACTACATTCTTCTAACACTCACTATCAATATCATGTCGACCCTTTCGTCATTAGAATACATTTTTAATCAACAAAAATTTTTGAAATTTTACAAAAACGAATTGTCAATTATAACTTTCATTGATGTTAGGGGTGTCCGGATTTCATGCTAATTAAACATAACTAAGAATATTAAGTTATAGATGAATAATGTATAATGTGTTGCATTTAAAGTTTGTCAGGGTCGTAAAGTTGTGTGAATCACCCTGTATTTCACAATAGTAATTTTATCAATGCTCTTGGTTACCTTATTTTAAAATTAATCAATTTTGTGATAAAATGTCTAAGTACGTGGACACTAAGTTAATATCACAAAACCATTTTTGCAAAAACTACTTTTTTAAAACTTTTTGTATTAACTGTGTTTTTAGGGTGTCATAAAAAGTGAAAAAATGGAATATTTGAAATTTCATAAATGTTTTTAAAATTGTAAGTTTATTTTTGTTTTTTATTTGTAGTAATTTTATATTATAAACAATTCAAAGCAATTTGAAGAAATAAAATTGTATTTCAGATGTTGTGTTAAACTTTTTAAAACTTTTTTGCAGGTGGGGAGTTCTGCGGCGGGAAAAAGCACAGTCGTGCGAGTTTTGGCGCACATCGTGGGAAAAACTCTGAAAACATTACCGGTAACATCTGCAATGGACACGACGGATATTTTGGGAGGATTCGAGCAGGTAAGTCAAGTTTTACTCTGATTGTTGACAAGATTTATTTCTTTATGAAGTAATACATACAGCAAAAAAATGCTGGAAGAATATATCGAGTGCAGTAATTTTATTTCAATTTTGTTTTCGTAAATTAGACATCTGTTATTAAATTTCGTTGTAATTTACATAACACGTTTATATACAAAAGCAAATATTTATTGTTTAAATTTATTTTTTATACATTTAGGCACATATTTAGTGGTTATTTTTTAACCTGAATACATTTGGACATAATTGTGTTATTGCTTTATTCAGCTGAGAATCCGGCTCACGAATCAGGAAATTAAGTATTGACATTACACAAATACTATAAATATAAAGTGATGGAATAAATGAGAAAATAGAGCGTTTCTGGATATGTCTAGAATAACATTAAAGTGGCATGAAACGATAAAGCTCGTGCTCGACAGATTTCCCATTTATTACAGTTCAGTATGGAGAAAAATGTGTCTTAGTGGATCTATGTGACATTTACGATCTAATCACATGGATTTGATTGCAGCTCTGGTCCTAAATACTATTCTACTACAAGTAACATTCGCACTGCAATTTCTAAAATTGGCTAGTTTCATCTGTTGTAGCTAACCTTGAGCAATTTTTGGGGACTTTGATTTTAGGAATTGCAGCTTCTCTATCCTACAAGAAAGACTTGAGATAGTTACAATTATATATCAGTTCTTCAGTGTTTTAGTAAAATATTTAGTACCCATTGACAGTGTTCTTTTACAATGATATAGTTGATCTAGTCACCAACATTTATTTTTTATCTAATCGTCTCGAATTGTCTCTTAAAATTATCAATTCCTGAAAGAGGCGGATTTTGTTTGGAGTTACACAAAACTTTCTCTTCTTTTTCAGTATACATTTCAAGTTTTACAAAATCAAACAGTTCGGTTGAGATTAAGAAAAGTTACAATTGGGAAAACAATTCGCAAAACTTTCGCAGTCTTTTGATTCTTCAAGAATCCGATTGCAGTCTTTTACTGTACGACTCGTGACGACTAACTTAGATCCGAGTGGATCTGTCCCAATCCGGATGCTAGTCACTCTCGGGTGGTGAACTCGGCTCCGGGCTGATGTATTGCGGGATTTGGATTCCTCCGTTTACCGGCTCCGGAGTCCACGGACTCAAATCGGAGTCTCCCTGCAACAAGATAGGATTTTAACCCCGAAATGTGCCCTGAGTTTGGTAGTCCAGTCATTAAATAAACGGAATTTGTACAATATTTCTTATTAAACGGTTTTATTATTTTGTACAAATTTCTCGACGTTGAATGTTTTTTTTTTTTAATTTTTAATGACTGGTCTACGTGTGCAAAATTTTTTTTTTAATAGCCAGTCATAGACGAAAAATCATTTTTAAAATCGCCTATAACCGTTATTAGTGTTGTGACTGTGCTTAGGTAAATAAATAGTAAACATGCTGTGTACACCACTTACATATAATATTTAATTACCATAGAGCTATCAGGGTGGGCTGGTACGGGCAGGGGCGGTTTGAGCAGCGATATGTCGGTTCTGGGGGGATCTGGGGGCGGGGGTACATTGGGGTTCCCCAACCACAATGGAATCCATCCGCAACAGAGATCAAGAGTTGCTCTTCTGAGCCCTCTATGCAATACCAAAAAAAGTGTAGGGTTGACAATGGCATGAACGTATGATATGTGCAGCGTTATCTGAAACACATGCAATTTACTCTCCTTTGTCGATGCGAAATCGAGCGCTAACCTCGTGTCCGAGAGGGTTGCCTACGATAGGGTGGTTGACGAGTGTGACGAAAAAGAGTGGACCCCAGAAAAGAACGTAGGCGGCTGTTATAACGAGGAACATCTTAACGCGTTGGACACCGTCGCGTTCCATTCGACGGAGGTATTCTCGCATCCTTCGGTGCTCTTCGAGGGCGCCGGAAGCCTGAAATGGGGCATTTGGTGGCAAGTTAAAATGAGATGGGCTTATGTATATGATGTGATTTATTTGTCGTTTTATTTAATATTAAATCGGGGCTTTTACGTCTTATAATTTGAATTTATGGGGGGTGAAAAATGTATTGGAGTGGTCAAGCTGAGTTTAACTTTGTTTTTTCAGGTTTTCGGTTGATAATAATCTATTTGAGTTGAAAGAAAACTTTTGGTAACAGTATTAGGTTTGTTCCAACAAGAAATTTGGAATAGTAATCCAGTTAAAAATGGAGCGGTCATCAACAATAGCTTGTTTAAACAAAAAATGCAGCGAAAAATCATTGTGGTGACAAGAATCGCTATTGCCATCAAAAATGGTCGTTATAATAAATTTTGAAAACATCATTTATTCAAACAAGAGATGTAGCAATTTCTGGTTAGTATGTAGTCACAAAAAATTGATAGTGGGATAAAATAATGACGGTGCCTCTGCTGCCGGCAACGGTGTTTAAAAAAATAGAGGGGATGGCTGCCGGCGTCGGTTGCCCGCACATTATTAGTTTACATTCCTGATTAGTTTGTTCCCGGTATTCCGCATAGTAAAATATCATTCTTCATATGAAGAATTTAATATAATAGTTTTTTGGCAAGTCGTTTTTAAAAGCTTTTACTTGTTTTATTGCCAGTCTTTTGCAAGTAAAAGAAACAGCTCCTCTTTTCCAATAAGCTTACTTTAATAATATAACAATTACTTTAACTAATAATTTATAAACAATTGACAAATAATGTTATTAACAATTTTTACTATTTTGTTTCCTAATACGAAGATGAAAGTAATTTCAATCGATAGAGGAGAAAAAATCCTACACGCAATGGCAGAAATTTTAAGAGATGATAGCAACGATCAGAAGATGCAAAAAAATTTTATCTTACAGGTTGAGTTTTTGAGCTACCTTAGACCATTGTTTTTGGTGGTAGAAATCAAATATTATTCACAAGTGAGATAAAGTACTCACAAGTGAGATAAAGTACTCACAAGTGAGATAAAGTACTCACAAGTGAGTAAATTTGACTATTATTTTTTTCTATTATACAGGTGCGCCAGAACTCGCGCCCCAGAGAAAAATGCCATATAAGGTAAGATACCAGGAACATGGAAAAAATGTTAAAAAAAATTTATCTATAAAAATTTCGAAGTTATGAGGGTTTAAAGTTTGTACTTAGACTCTATTTATTTCTGTTGGAAAAATAATTTTACAATTTTTTTTGCTATAGGCTATTAAAAAAGGAAACAAGAAAGCTGTATCCTAAATTGTAACTCTGTTCAATGTTATTTGTGCCTTTCATTGGCAAAATTTGTCCTTTTACTAAATAATTGTAAAAAAACATATACAAGATCATCAGTATCATTAAATACATATGAAAAAATGTCAAATGTCAAAAAATAAATGTCAAAATTTTTTGACAGATAGAATTTTTTAAACATTTTTTTCATGTTCCTGGTATCTTACCTTACTTGAAAATTTTCTCTGGGGCGCGAGTTCTGGCGCACCCTGTATTTACTATTATATTTTTATAAGTGAATATTTTACTTGAATGAAACTTCATTTTTTGGATAGTTGCACATGTAAGATAAAACGTCGTATATCACACGTGATCGAAATGCCATTATGAAACTCTTGAGAAGTGACCCACTCTTGCGCAAGCGCACTCGTCGGTCAAAATTCTCACTCGCGTATAATGATGCATTTCTATCACTTATAATATAATGTACTATAATTTACATTCTATGAATGTTTATACTACCAGAAACAAATAGAGTGTTTCAGTCGCTGATGATCTCTGGGGTTAATTTTTCAAAAGTATTTTTTGGTATTATTAAAAAAAAAAACTGTTTTAAACTGCGAAAATATAGTGAAATTAAAAAAAGTGAAATTAGCGACAAAACCTAAAAATTCTTGCCGACAGCTGGTACGGGCGCCGTTGCCGGCAACAGAAGCACTGTCTAAAATAATAGTATGTCGTTACTTGATATGTAATTCTTAAAATATTTCAAAATTCTTATCTAAAAGTCATACGTACTATATAATTTGCTTAACTTATGTGTACATAAATTAAGAAACTAGAAAAATAATACATTTACTACTTAAAAAGAAAGTGCCTACATATTGTAGGTAGTAGGACTATATTTTTTAATGGATTGCGGTTAGGAAATTAAATAATTTCAACCTGTATATTGTTCTGAGTTTTGCATTGTTATTTATTTATAAAACACGAATCTACTTTGATTTACTTTAGTAATAACATAAGTAGAATTGATATTTTTTGAAATGAGCATTATTTTGTGAATTTTACGATATAACACTTTCATTTTTTATCTTCTATGTCAACAGCAAAATAATTTTATTCTTCGACACTCAAAATTTAGGGTTTTTCTCCCGTGATTTACACTCAAACTCGTAGAATAAATAACTATTAAAAATCGATTCAAAATGTTAAGAAAAAACAATAAATAATAAATAGACTATGGACGTGTATGAAGAGATATAGTGTAAAGTTTATGTTTTTTTTTTTAGTATTTTTTACGTCCTAATAATTGATATAATAATAATTGTTTTAGAACTTGTCCCCCAGAGAAAAATTTTAAGTAAGATAAATTGGAAAAAATTCTATCTGTTGACAAATGTTGACCTTTATTTTTTGACATTTGGTATTCTTTATGTCTATTTAATGTTACTGATGATCTCGTATATGTTTATTTTAAATAATTATTTAGTAAAGGTACAAAAATTTTGCCAATAAAAGCCACAAATAACGTTAAACATAGTTACAATTTAGGATACAGCTTCTTTGTTTTCTCTTTTAATAGACTGCAGCAATTTGAGTATGTATGTACGAGTGGGTTTACCAGTTTTTAGAGAATGACAATTTAGTTTTTAGTTTAGCAATAAAACCTCGCGTGCTTGTTCCAATTCGTGCTGTGAGGTATGTAGGTAAAAGCTGCTGCTATTTACGTAAACTTGCGAGATGTTTCAAGGTCTGAACGTTAATTATGCACATGATTGTGCAAACAAAGGGCCTAAATTTATGTGTCCTAAAACAGTTATGTTTTCCACAAAGTGCACTTGTTTGAATTGTTCCAAAGAACTTCCCGAGCCGTGACACGCCAACAAAGGCCCTCGCAAACTCCTTAAAAATAATGACATCGTCTTTCTAGTTTGGATTCGGACCCACCCGTATGTAATATTTTAAAGGCACTTTACATGCCCTATCGGCCCTGTAAGCCGCACCGCGGGCCACTAAATATTTATCAACGCGCTCTCTCACTTTTTCTCCGCGATATAAGTCGGCTATCGCCTTTATAATTTATGCAACAGGACTTAAAAGTCCTCGTTCGGTTCATTACGGCAAGTAGTCCATGTGTTTAGTTGTCGTCTGCAGATGATGACTAGGCTAATTACCCTCTCCCCGTTGGCGGCCCCGCCGCCCCCTGTCACGTTCACCAGTGTGGTGACGAGGCCCGCTACTCGCACCGCCTCCACGTTGGCCTTGGTGAGGTCGCGGTGCAGCTTCCTCAAGTGGAAGAGGGTCAAGAACACGCACACGAGATTGACGGCGATCCACAGCGCGTTGAGGATGTAGTGGCGCAAGGGGCCGTGGATGAGGGGACACGAGGGGGCTTTGTGACCGGCTTCGCCTTGTGCCGCCAACGCTCCAGAGAGGAATGTGGGGCCCAGATTGATGGTGATGGACGCGAACCAGATCATGAAAGTGCCGAAGAGCACGCATTGAGGCGAGTCCATGAGGAGGGGCACGTCGGAGAGGGAGTCAGAATCGTCGTCTTCAGGGAATACGGGAGAGTCGTTGAGGACAGTGGTCAGCATGTTGACGGTGGCGACCGTCACCAGGAGGAGGAAGGCAGTTTCCACGAGGGAACATTTCTGCACCGGCTGGCAGTGGAGGATTGAGATTCCCAAAGGGAGGAGGAGCGCCGCTCGGGCGCAGTCGACGGCTCCTTGGTGGAAGAGAAGGCCCTGAGACCACCTGGAATATGATAAAAAAGTTAATAATAATAAAGCGGCCTTATTGAATTGTAAGTACAAGTAAATACAACTCGGACGAAGTCTAGCAACAGGTATTCATACTTAATCCCCTAAACAAAACAAAAAGAAAAAAACAAAATTAAAAATTGAATTACAGTTTAACTAAAATTAAGAAAAACTACTTAAGCATAACAGGAATTAAAACAATAAGAAAATAACAAAAAGCAAAAAATCTATTTTTATCATTTTGCGAAAATTGTTCAATGAAAGTTTTTCTTTAAACAAATGAGTAGAATTATATAACTTTATTGTATTGTAAGAGAGAGATCTTTTAAATATTGCTTTTATAAACTTTGGTAATGACAGGTCAGCAATATTACGAACAGAAACTTGATGACAACTTTTTCTGAAATGAAATAGGGTGAGATAGGGTGGTGAAGCAGTAATAAACATTTATATATGAACACTGACAAAAAATAATTGTATATTTGGTCCACCGACAGCCAACCAAGCTTTTTTATTTTTTGAGATACATGGTCAAATTTTCTTAATTTGTAAATAAAACGAGAGCACGAATAAATGATGAGACCATAATTAAGGTTGGTAAGCACCAATAGTCGCTTAGTTTTTTCGAAGTTTAAAATTCAAAATGTGATAATTGGAATATATTTTTAATGCAATATAAGACCTCTTTACAATCAAGTTGATCTCTAAATCGTAATTCCGAATCCATTATAATTCCAAGATTTTTTACACTGTTTGAGATACCTATTTCCATATTACCAATTTTGAGATTAATTTCCGAGTTGATTTTTTTATTTCTTGTGGAAATGCAAATTGATGAACATTTACTCGAATTTAAATTTAAACCAATGCTTTTAGACAATAAGAAAATTTCATTTAGATCTTGATTAATAAAGTTGCAAGCTCGTTCTACATCGTCAGGATCAAAATGATAATACAACTGTGTGTCATCTGCAAAGGCATGGATGTTAATATATTTTACCGATTCTAATATTTCTGCGTTAATTTGATTTCAAAATTTACGTCAACTAGAAAGGATGCCGTGAATATCTTACACTGAAAGTTAATTTTAACAACGTTTGGTTTATTGCAGAGGTCAGCGATCCTCTGGGGAATAGATTTGGGTGATTTTGTTGTTTTTTTTAAATATTTGTTCGGATAAATTGTGAATGTAAGTAAATGTTATTTTATGGAAAATAGGGAAAATAATCTATTTATCGGAGATACTTACTTATTAGACTGTTTAAAAAATGAAACAATAATTTATAATCTTTTAAACCTCTTATGAAACATAGAAACCATTTGAAAAAGTAAAATGTATTTCTTTTTTATTTTCTGAAGCATATTCAGTGCTAATTGTTTCGATTTACTTCCTAATAACAAACATGAATTACTACTACATGTTTACAATACCTTTCATGGACAATGCTAACTAATATTTGTAAACAATAACACTTAATAGATTGTGATAATAAACAATCGGTTGATTTGACCGGCAAACCAAATGTAGTGGAAATAATTTGTGGAAGAAATCGAAAATTTATTTATGAGTTACAAATGATGCTAACTTTTTGCACGATTACTTGTGTTTGTGATAATAGTTTTTTGTTATTTTCTTAGTTATTTATTATTATTAAAGTAAAAATTACATTAGATTTTTTTTCGTAAATAGCGAAGTTAAATTATTAAATATTTCAATAATTCTATTCTATTTTATTACGTGTATTTTACGTAAAAGAAGATGTTTTATTTATTAAGGGGGTAGTTAGAAAGTTTTCTGTCAAAATTGGATGGCGTGAATTAATGGAACACTGATGTTGTATTCTCGAAACAATTATCTGGTTTCTTAAAAATAAAGATACAACACTTCTGTGTTTGACTGCCACTGGTACCACCCTTCTGGCAGGTGGGGGTTGCTGGGCAGTACTTTTAATTAAAGTGTACAGGGTGTTCCGTTTTTATTGTTTCTATAAACATGTATCGAAAAATTTTATATAAGGGGGCTACATCCCCTGAAAGGGGTTTAGCTTTTCCAATATTTCAGAAACCATTGTGGATAAAATTACAAAATTTGGTACAACTGATATTTTTTATACATCCAAACGAAGTCACAGATAAAACGTCGAAATTTTTACTCAGGGGCGTCCTCAACTGGGGGGGTTTAGGGTAAAAAGTACCCTAACTACTTTGGCTGTTGGTTCTTGCTACTGTCAGCCACAAATTTCTAAATTTCTTGGTTTTTTACAAAAAAGAGGTCTCTTGCGTTTTTTGATACACCTTATCGTTTTTGAGTACAATCTGTTTTCTATTTGGCTTACAGACCATAAAAAATTAAAAATTAAATTTGCTTTACCGTTTACAACATCCGTGATTAGAAATTTCGACAACTGATCTTTGAATACATTCAGGTGTTTAAAGGTTAACTTATCAGCCGTACCAACTTTTGTAATTTTATCTACTCTGCAATAGTGGGAAAATCCCATGAAAAAAACGCTTTTCGTTTGTTGTAGGTTGTTGTAGGGTTGTAGCTCGCGTATATAACATTTTTTGATACATAGGAAACTTTTATCTTAAAATTGAATATTCTATCACCTGTTTAAATTTGTAACAATAAACTTTAGACAAAGTTTTTATATACGCCTATTTATCAAGACTTTAATAGATCAGGAATATTTGCTGGATTATCGACATTATTTTTGAATAGTGGCTTTATAAGCTATTTTCTGTATTGCTATCGTTTATTTTGTTGTTTTACGAAACGTTAGAACATATACTAAAATTTATATTTAAAAGTATTAGATTCAATTTGGTGCTATAAATCGAGCTGAAAAGTGAATTACAGTGTAATATTTATAAAATTTTATAAGTGTGTTCGTAGATATCGTAAAATAGTAGCTTTTAGTTAGGGAGAAAGTTGTTGAAAGACCTAACTTTTTTTACCAATAAATTCTTTGTTTCTTGTCTAGCTATCGACATGTTGTTATTTAAATTATTTATCTTTTTTTATTCAAGCAAAATTGTATTGTTTACACATCTTGACATCTTGGGAATGTAATGAAGTTTGCAGCTGTTTTCGTGTTCAACTGAATTTTTCCTTGCTATTAATATTTTGCCACCGATTTGTGAAAAACTATCTTTTCGTTTTAACTTCAAATAAAATTTTATAAGCTTATTTTCAAGTGTATTGGATAAATCTAAACCGAAAGATATTTATTTTTTATTTTGTAGTCTCGACTCGTTTGTATTTACAAGTATAATTTTATTACTTTGTTTCATGTCAAGTTTCTTTTTAAAAACACAATAAAATTCAAGCACCCCAGTTTTTGTACACTTGTTTCTCAAGTGAACATCGGAATAAATCGCCAACAACCCGAAACTCGTCACAGGCACCGTGCTGTATAATCATTAAAACCCTCCTTGAACTTTATTAATTTTGTCTAAATATAAGCAATTTAGGTGTACGCTTCCGGTAGTTAACCTAACCACACAAGAGGAAGTCACCCGGCTTGCAATGGAAAATGACCAACTAAATGATAATACTTTTCAATATACGCCACAATCCGAAAAGTGTAATTTCTCGAGTGTGCAGAATTGGGTTTGTAAGGAGTCGTATTGACTGTAGGCGAGCCTGGCAAAGGGCGTGGTTAACGCACGAGGATGAGTTACTCGACAAAAGATTTCCAGAAAGGAAAGTGAATTATGAAGTGGAGCAAGGAGCCAAGATAATTCGACTAGGGCGTGATGAAGTCTCATGTCGAAGGCTGACGGAAATTGCATTTTTTGTCAAATTGGCTAAGTGCACGATCTTGAGAATTTTTTATGTAATTGGTATAATTTATTAGTCAGCAAGTTGTGCCAGACTTTGCGTCGTCGAGGCTTGAATGTAACGTGAAATTGATAAATGGTGGCTGCATCAGAATGAGATGAACGGCTTGTAAACTTTTTACCACTTATGCTGAGCTAATTACGTATCGAAAAATCGTTACTAAAGTTTAAAAAATGGTGGATTCGCCGGGTTAAATGTCAAACGTCTTCGTAAATTTGACTTCAAAGTAAATGATTTCTATTTCTTTACCGATAAAAGGCTAGATCTGAAGCCTTTATTTTTCGCATTGTGGAAATAGATCCGTTTTTCGCTTGAACTTTTTGTTACATTTTAAAGAAGCATTCGTGTCAGCTGTAAACGAAAAACGAAATATAAATTGAATGTAACTTTCAATAAGTTTTATTTCGAATTTGGGGAAACTCGTGTGAAAACCCATGCACCAACTTTCCGTTCTTTCAAAGATGTATGCAATCTGCAGTGTCAGTCTTCGCAAACAATTTCCGTAACTTTTGTCGCGAATATTGGAAGCTTTTGTGTGATTTTTCGCTATGGCCATCAATTATCTAGATTAGCGGTCGCAGTTTATCTTTGGTTTGTTGAGGTTTGGAGAGAAAAGGTAGTTATCGATCACCGTTTAATGAAAGAAAGGAGTTGAAGAGGTGGCCGGTTCAAATGGAAAATCGGGAGTGTATTGTTGCGAGCAGTTTTTAATCTTCTTCATTTAAGTTTGCGAAGAGAAATTGCACTGATAAAATTCAATGAATTATAGTGATTATTTTTTATTTTAGATTAAAGGCATAATTGATTAGTGTAATCTTTCTTGTTCAACTTTGTATCTTTACCAATTAAACTTCTAGTTTTATCTTGACTTTTGCTACTGCTCTTTTAGGCAGTTTAATTTTCTGCACTTTTTTCGAAAAGTTTCACTTAATTATTATGATTGCGGTGTTATGAAAGTGGATTCCGTTTTGTTTTTGCGATTATAATTCATTTTATTTCTGTAATTTTTAATAAAAAGTACAAAGCAAATAGTATAGAAGAGTGTTTGTCCAAATGTCTGTTTGAAAAAAAGAAATTATTTAAAACTCTTGGGTAATTATTTCGAACATTTTTATGAGTTAAAAATACATATTTTTGAGTGGATTGAAACG